ACCGCGGCGCTCTGATGATACCTGCAGCCTGTTTTTAGCGTCAGTTGTTGAACCGTATGATTGAGACAAACACATGTTTCTGGTGTCTGTATTCTCATCACCTAACGTGTCTGGTGACTGATGGAGGACTCTCAGAGCACCGTGATTGGTCCCTGTCACCACCAGACCACCTCCATGAACACGTACGAGATCCGTTTCTGTCACGAGTCGACGCTCGTGTTCAGCGTGAACAGCTCATCGGGCCTGTTTGTCAGTAGCGTATAATTCACGAGGTGGTGATGATATTCATTGTAATACTGAGTGTGAGAATGAGAGAGAGCCGCGTTATCAAGAAGTCCTGTCATTAGACATCCTCTGATTGTTTTCTGGCGCTGACGCCTTCTTCCTGAGAACCAATAGGAAACCCCGTCCTCCCTCCTCTCCCAGACCTTGAGGAACAACCAAACCCAAAATAACACAGGCCCTGCATAATGTATGTGTGTTTGTATGTAAACCATCTGTTTTGTGCACTTTCCTCGTTAAAATCAGCCCACATTGGAGATGTTGGCATATTTACGACGGTGACGAGGACATAAAAGCTAATTGTCACTTTTATTTTCAGTTGTTTTTTAACAGCGCAAAAAAAAGTGTTTTCTTCTCATTTCAAAGCCTCCAGAGTGATTTACACGGATGAAAACATTTCAAACTGTGGGCCTTAACCTCAGTCAGAGCCACAGTGTTTGAACTCTGCTGCCACAAGACAAAGACAAAGAGTCTGAGCAGGAGTGAGGGGGAGTCCTGTAGGGCTCTGCTGCGTCACAGGAGACGCCGAGGTTCATGGTTTTATGTAAAGTAGGTCAAGCATTTCTGCTCTTTTCTTTCCCCCTTTGGGCTGTAGCATTTATGAGCATGTGAGAGTCGGTCTGCAGGTCAACACGGATCATCTGCTGTCTCACGACTGTAAATGACGTCATCAGTGGAAGATGTGTTCAGCAGTGGAGGCTTTCATGGTTTACCTGTTACATGCTGCAGATCTGGCAACCTACACAAACCCAGAGAAATGGCAGCTGAGGACGCTTCCACAGTGGATCAGGAGTGAGCCACACGAGTGGATTTAGTTTCCTCATTTCTCTCTGCAGTATAAAGTCTTGCACCTCTGATGAACAGTACAGCAAAGTCCTGACTCCTCAAACTGTCAAAAAACAAGTGAAAGTTGAACTTCTTTGATTATTTGTTTTACAAAATGACAAGACATGCACAACATTTTTCCAAGTGCTGCAACAAATGGTGGCTCTACACACTGTAGCTGTGCTTCTATTTATTTCTGCACCTGTCACCGCTCTGTTCTGGGTAAACTCAGCATGCAGCTGATGTGAAAACTCTCTGACGTTTTGTCATGTATCTGCTGCTTGCATTAGACTCGCTCATGGATCATCAGTTGTGCAGAAGTTTTTGTTTTTTTCTTCAAAATCCAGCTTGAGCAAACAGTTTATTTTGGATGAGATGTGTAGAGTGATCGCTCTTAGAGAGACTGCTTTAATGTAAAAACAGCTTAAATATGAAAAGATGTGTTAGACTATAGTTCAAGAAGTGACCCTGTTAGCAGCTACGAGGCCTGTGTGTCTGTGTGGATGTTCTCTGTGTAGCTTCCTCCCATGCTTGGGTTCATTGGTGACTCTAAATTGGTCGTAGGTGTGAGTGTGAATGGAATAGGTAATGGATGGAGGTCATGGATTCAGGAAGAAAATATGTGAAATGTGAAAAGCCAGCCTGTGTCTGTTCTACATGTGGATGTATGAGACGGCATCGGATGCAGAGGAAACTATTTCTTGTACATTTAGTTAATTTTAATATTCAGTTAATTTTCCAGTTTGCACCATGAGCTCCAGATGCTGCTGTGCTGCTCCTCACAGAGCTACTGTGATGACATGTGTACGCCACAAAGCTGATGGACTGAGATGCTAACATGGTGCCATCATCTGCCTTCGCAAGACATTAGACTTAGAAAGAGCTGAGAAGTACAATCAACTAGAATAAGGTTCATGTTCCAACCAAGCCTCCACTCTGATCCCCCGACTACAACGTTTGTGTTTCCACAGCTTTACTGCTGCAGGAGTTTCTGCTCAGGTGTCGACCAGTCTCTGCTTTCTCACCTGTAACTGGTTTTAAGCACCAGTGAGACCCCATTTCGTGATATCGACGTCTCTGCACTGACTAGCAGCTCCATTTAGAACTGACTGAAGGTTTTAGTGGTCTGTTTGTAGCGCCTCCCTACCCCACTGATCTTCCACCATGAAACACAAGCTCATGTGTTTGACCAGCGGCTGCAGCGTGGCCCAGATCAGTGCACAGTGGAGGCTCAGGGTTGAAGGTCACGTTAAACACATTTTAAAATCTATTTCAAATCCTTGGTCTTTCAACCAGAGCGAGTTGTGTTGTATATATTCATTGTCTTCGCTGCTGTTTCAGGCGTTCAGCTCTTTGCTCGATGCTTGTTGTTGTTCAGTGTGAATAAATCACTGTGGTTGGCTGTGTTGTACAGTAGGTTATGGTTGTGCTGCTGACAATACGGACGTGTTTGTGCTCCGGTAGGAAGTTGTTTCCAAAACAGATGTGACAGCTCGACAGGCATTGTGTTGAAGACAATGAGTGTGTGTGTGTGTGTGTGTGTGTGTGTGTGTGTGCAGTTTGTATGTTCATACTGTGTGTGTGTGTGTGTGTGTGTGTGTGTGTGTGTGTGTGTGTGCGTGCTGTCATTAATCAGACACCATAACAGGAAGCTGCTCACTACCACTGAGTCTTCCTGCTGACTGACAGTATCTAGATGTTGACTTCATGCATGAACGAGGGGATATTTTATATTTTTTAACGAAACAGAACCAAACTGGGCCTTAAGCTGAGCATGTTTATATGTGAAGCCCTGTCCTGTACATTGTTCCTCTGTGTCATAGAGCTCCATTATGTCCTTAAAGCTGCTGAAGCACATGACGAGGCCCATCGCTGCGCTTGGCGTTGCCTCAGTACAAACACCCACACAGCTTGACTCTGGCCCACGCACGCTGTGATGTTTGCTGAAAACTGCAGCGGGCAAATGGGCAGAAGTTTCTGGAGCTTTTATGAAAATTAAATTCCATATTCAGGAAGCGAGGGGGATGAGAGCTGCGACAGGGCAGAGGAGACGGACATGTTGGTCTGAGGTCTTCATGGGGTTTGTTGACAACAACAAAACCATAGAACTAATTCCAGGCTCGTCGTTTTTGATCATAGTCGATTAGCTGATTCTGAATATTAATAGTTGCACTGAACTCTGAATTAAAGTTCCTCTCCGGCCGTTGATTTAACCCTAAAACCCCATCTTGTGTGTCAGAATAGTGTATTTTAAAGTTGTTTTTTTCTCATAAAAATCTCTGCCTCTAAACTCAGTGCAGCTCGAGCACATCAGCTCACCTGTGACTCTGAACGCTGTGAAACTGTTCTATGAAACAGAAACTGCCTTCTAAGGTCAGTTCACTGCTTGTTTGCTCATGATGTGTCTTCCAGACTGTAAAACACACCAAGTGGACTCATTAGTGAAGATGTTCTAACATCTTACTACACTGTTAAAAAGAAAGTTTAAAAAATAAAGAAATAAGGAAACCAGCTGCAAATCTTTTTTGAGTTTCCTCAACGTGCTGAAGTCAACTGGGATTAAGAGGCTGAATGACAGAGTTTGTCCAGCTTTAGATGGATAGTTCCCCTCTACACCACCACTGCACCGCTCCCTTAAATCCACCCTCGTTAGCTTCATGAATGAATAAAGTTCTATGTACAGTTTTCTCAACTCAGGATTTTCACTTGATGACACTACTGACTGATAAACTTCATATGTGAAGAAGCTCAGCTTTTTTTTTTCAAAAATATTTGCTCACTTAACAAAAAGTCATGTTAAGAGATCAATCTTCAAGCTAGAGTTTTACACGTGTACAGGGGGTCTTCAGTGTGCCTTTAAATATGGATCAGAGCACAATGTGTCGTACTGGCAGCCATGTTTTCAATAACCATAGTTTAGCAACTAAAGGCTGCAGGTGTCTCAGTGGTTAGCATCGTGGCCTCACAGCTAGAAGGTCGCCGGTTGGCGTCCCGGTGAGGACACCCGGGATCTTCCTGCGTGGAGTCTCCATGTTCTCCCCGTGCAGCGTGGGTTCTCTCCGGGTTCTCCGGCTTCCTCCCACAGTCCACAAACATGCTGAGGTTAATTGGTGATTGTAAATTGTCCGTAGGTGTGAATGTGAGTGTGCTTGGTTGTCTGTCTCTAAGTGTAGCCCTGTGATAGACTGGTTACCTGTCCAGGTGAACCTGCCTTCACCCTGAGTCAGCTGGGATAGGCTCCGCCCCCCATGACCCTGGTGAGGTTTAAGGTGTAGAGATGATGGATGGATGTAGTATCAGAGGTGAGCGTGCATCACACTGCAGTGCTGCTGCTACATCACAGATGCTTGGTTTGAATCCAGACTCCCATCTGTGGTTTGGGTGAAGCAACAACAGCACCTTGCAAAAGTGCTGCCAGTGCCAAAACAGAACCAGAAAGCGCTGAACAGCACTTGAGTCACTACAAGTGGAAACTGCAAGATCAGATATTTTGGTGAAGAACAACTGCACAGTGAGGCTGAAATACCCCAGAGAGTGGATTTAGTCTTCAGTCGCTCTTGAGGAGTTCTAGCTCAAAGAAATGTCAGTCTGTGAAGTTTTCCTCCACATGCTGCTCGTATTTGGCCGTCCAACATACCTCTGAACTCATAAAAACAGACGCGACAGCACACGGATGCTGTGCCAACATCCAGCCTGCAGAAATGTAACACACATGACCAGGATCCATGCAAACACACCAACCCTCAGCAGCTCGGCTCCTCTGCCCTTCCTTCTCCTTCTGCCTCATTCCTTGGACACACACTCACGCCCTGTCCTCCTTCTCTGCCTCCTGATAGGCTGCCGGCTGCTCGGAGCAGAGCTGTTTTACTACAGCTGGAGCTGGAAAAACTGACCACAGACGCATGTAACAACTACACAAACAGTTCCGGCCGTCTGCTCCGGCTGGGACACAGTGTTTGTGTGAAATGCGAGAAAAGGCAGAGAGCCTGAGATCTGCTGGTGTGGAACAGCCTGAGCTGATGGTGGTGGTGGAGAAGCAGCTGCTGCCGACAGACCGGACCTTTGAAGCTGGATGTTGTCCTCACTGCTTCTGGAGACGATGAGAACACATCATTTAATGGGATTACTGCTTTTTCTGGGCGGATTTACATTTACTCCTGTTTGTGTGCTCGAGCCGGGACGGTGTTAAGATGAAGAGGGCCAAACACGTTATAGGTAATGTTGGTAGACGCTTGGCTGCACTTTTACACTTCCTATAGGACACTCTATCCTTTAATATTCAGTGTAACCCTGCAGAGGACAGGCTAGCATTTCAGAAAACACAGTGTTACTGCAAATGATAGGTTCAGTGCGAGCACTGCATGCTAATGCTTGAGGAATTTGCAAAGATTAGAGGAGCCATGGAGCACTGACAACCGGGACAAACTCTGAGCTCGTTCCAGAGCTTTGTGGCTCTTGTAAACACAGAGACACAAGAGTCCAAAAACACATCAAAGCCAGCGGAGGGACATAACAGAAGGAACAGGAGCTCCTTGTCTGCTCCCAGCCATACCGCACTGTGGCGAGCTTCAAACGCACGGCTAACATTGTCATCGTCTGAGAACATACAGTAAAGAAAGAACACAGAACAGCCTCCTTCTGGTTCAAAACGGCACCAGTTCTGCTCGGTTCTTGGCATGTGAGCTGTTGGAGAAGTTGTCACGTTGTTCTGTCTCGTTTGCTTCTGTTTCTTCATGTAATCCCAGACTGACTGCATGATGATCAGTCAGGACTCCTCGAGGGTCAGACCATCTGCTGCAGGACTTCTGGTTGTTCTTCTGGCTGATTGTTCTTTGTGAGTCTGGCTGGATGTCTGGCCTCACTGTCCTGCTGCACAGGGAATCTGGGATCATGGATAAGAACCTAAAGGGCCTGAAACTCCCAGACAGTACTGATCAGCTGGTGATCGGTTTTACTCCTCAAACCAATAAGAACAGGTGCAACCACAAGCTGGGAAATCTGTCCAGAATACACCAAGAAAACCTTTTTCATTTTAAACATTTAGATTCAACATAAACACAAACACAGGCAGCTGAGTCTGACATGCAGGTCACAGAACCATAATTACATGGTATGGACTGTTTGTTTGGCTCCTGAAGGGCACCAGTACACTGGAGGAGATTACTCTGTCAAGTCAGTTACTGAAAGCACAATAAAAACCCAAACAGGGACTTGTGTGGGCACAGCTGGTGGCTTGTGAGTCCTGCTGTGGTTTTATGGCACCGTGTTTATTACCTCTGTCCTGGTATTGGATCAGAATCAGGAAGAAGCTGCATCAGTGTGCACCATCCACACAGAACGTCTCCATGTTTAAGGTTCATATCGTAGAGCCATTTGAAGTCATATTAAAACGCTTAAAAGTGAAATAAAGTACTATATTCTGTTAATCCAAACAAACTGTTGGATGGAAGCGCCGTGTCTCGTCTGCAGCCACAGCAGCGATGCAGCGACAGCATGCTGGCTAATCCTCTCAGAGCAGATGGAGGAAGGTGACAGCGAAGGTGCAGATATAGTAGCAGTGTGTCTGTGTGAGAGGAGGGTGAGGCTGGTTGGCAGCTCCTTCCTCCAGCATGGTGGGAACCTGCTGGCCACCTGTCGCTCACTCTGAGGCCCGGAGCTGCTTCGTCAGAACGTCTCTACTCAGATCCACAGTGACTCAGTTCCCACCTCGTTGTTCCACTGACCTCTCTGTAAATATGCTGTTTTGAGGAGCAGGGGGAGGAAAAGATGATTAATTACGCTCATAAGGGCCTCGCCTTTCTACACAAACTCAAGCATGGGTAACGTCTCCAGCTGGCTCTGTCTGGTTTCCAGTTCAGAGGGACTGTTGTTGGTCTTCGACCCAGCTGATGTGGCCAATCAGCCAACAGAAACACTCATTAACCAACCAGAGTCCCAACAGCAGCACTGTGTCCAGCTCAGGATCCTCTATTCAACATGTATGTAGCAAACCGACCTCAGAACGGCGGCAGCATGTCCTGTTCAGGCCGTTTGCTGAAGGAAACGCTAATGTGACGACATGTGACTACTGCCGGCACTGAACGTTGGCGCGAGATGTGAACTGTGCCAAAATGAATATAAGCCTACGAATAGTCTGCTTCTTGTTTACACGCTGCCAATTCCACTTCTTGTTCCCTTACTGTTGTCAGAGGAGAGACTCCTTCTGTCTCAGCCGTTACGAAGCCCGTTAGGGTTTCCAGCCCCCTCATTGTGGTCACACTGAACAGGAGTCGCTGCCCAACAAAGAAATAAATAACAGTGAACCAGTCTGCAGCTAATTGTAGTGCTGGTTACGTCCCCGATGCTTTTGTCTAAATTTAATCTCAGAATCAAGAGTGGCGCTGGTGCCATGAGTGAGTTTATTGTCTGTCACGCAAACCCAGCATCTGCTTACAGGAACGCTTCCTACACTTGGCCTCTGTCTCCTCGCTGCGCCGTCAGTTTTCTAAAAAAAGCAGGTTTGCGTTGAGCCTTGAAGCGGTCATGCATCACATCTGTCTGCACCACTCCTTCCCACTTTGATGTTCCAACAATGCAGACATCCTCCGGCTCCGGTTGCATAACTCTGCCGGTCTCTATGTTCCTGAACGACATTTCCTAGATCCTCCAGATCCTTTATCTCATCCTAAAAACTTGTCACAGTTCTATATTTACAGCTTGCATTTACAGTTTATGACTGGGTAGCGTCTCGTCCTGGTTCTATTGTTGGAGCAGCGCTGTACGGTCCGTCCCAGGGTTTTCAAAGGGATGTAAATCATGTCACTTCCCTGTTGCTTGTTCAATACCACAGAATCAACTTTATTGGCCCAGTTTGTACACGTGAACAAGGAACTGGACTCCAGTGAATCTTAGCTCTCTGAATAGGAAGTAAAAGAACTAAACTAGAACAGTAAAAATACGAGTCCTGTATGTGCATTGTGTGTAGAAGCTACTTTCAGCCACACAGGTTTTAATTCCTGTACTTTAAATGTGCAAATATGTAAACAGAAGCTAAACTAAGGCTAACTAAGGGACAAATAAGTTGTTGGCTCAGTCTTAAGACTTCTTGTGAGGTTTCTACCATTTACCCGGTGATCATCACAAGGCTTGCTCCCTGCATAGGAGCCGTCCTCAGCTTTTCAGACTTCTCCCTGTATTTCCACTGTTGGTTTTCATTAAGAACAGTAACGGTCATATGGATCGCCTCAAGTCCCAACAAGCGCTATCTTTATCTTGTGCCCACTGAAAACAAACTGGCGTGTAAAACCGTAGATCATCAGTCATTATGAGGTGCTTTTATGGTTTTAAGTGATGTGACGTGTTTGTTGCTTAAGTCGGTCATAAATGGAGACCTCGGCCTCTTTTCTTTGTTGTTTTGTTGACTGTCACACTCATCAGCTTCTCGTCTCATTGCTGCATGAAAACACAACCTACCGCTGACCAGCCAGTGTTTTATTGTTCCAGGGCCTGAGAGCCACAGCGTTTTTTTCCCACGACATTTGATGACGTCTGTACACGAGATAATAACGTGTACACGAGATAAAATAATGTCACCTTCCTGCACTTTAGGAGGTCTGTTCTGCTGCACAGCTGTAGACTGAGTTAAACCCTCAGTAAGCATCAGGCTGCATGAATGTCATGAATTAATACTTTTTATGAAGACCTTGTATTGCCTTGTGTATTTATTGTGTTATTTGTTGAGTACTGTGTATGTTTGAGGTGAAACGTTAATATAGTGTTGTTTTTTTGGTTGTGGTTTACATAAGTGGTTCCAAAGTGCTTTCCATGTGTTTCTAGTCCACCTGTTCATACATCCATCGTCTGCTCACCACATGTGAACCTGGAACAACAGTTTGTAGTAACAGTGACAGCATTTAGACGAGAGGCACTCGTTTCCTCTGATGGGTTTTTTACTAAAACTTTTCAAAGTTAAAGTACAAACAGAAGCTCCTTCATATGACTTCCATCTGCAGCACATGAAACCTCCAGAAGAAGCCAGTAGGTGAACCTTGAGCTGTTCCTTTCAGCCAGACTCCTGTTTCCAGAGTGAAGTGTGAGCCTTCTGTCTCCAGCTTCATGTTATATAAGCCACTATAAATTAGACCCTTTGAATCCTGAGCCTGAACATTCTGAGCTCTGCTTGTGATTAACTGTGTGGTAACTGAGCAAATGTTAAACATTAAATACATTTTGGGTGGAGCAGGCGCTGAAGTGTGTGATCTTCATCGAATGAATCAGCAGAACTACAGCAGACGTTTGTGAATGGAGCCGTCTGTAGTGGAGGCTGTGTTGTGAATTCCCTGGTATGTCAGCAGACTCCCATCCTAAGAACAGAGGTACATTGATCGTGCTTCCATTAAAGGCCATTATCAGCTCCTCTCCTCCTGCTGTCTGTCCACCCCCACCAGCACACCACCCAGCCAAGCATGTTTCAGACCAATAAAGTGCAGTCAGTGTAAATGCAAGTCTTTATTCTCAATGACAGAGAAAGTTTTGTTCACCGTGCGCTCCGAGCTGCAGCCTGAAGAGCCACCACAAGAACCATTAAACCGGAGCAGGTTGGAGTCCAAAGCGCGGATTTACGCACATGCACAGCCTGAGAACGCTTTGTTCTGGTGTCTTCTATGTGGACTTGAGTCAGAAAGGGATGGTTTCAGAACAGACGGCGTGTGATGACCAAAGACATTCTATAAACGCCGTCAAAGACAGAATGTTGTGTTCTTGTGTACTGGTCTGGTTCCTGTCAGAGCACTGGGTCAGGTATTAGCCCCAGAGTGGGATTTTCTTTTTGCTGCAATTGAAAAACAAAAAGCTGTGATTGTTGTGATGCTGAAAGGGACTGACGTCGTACATCCTGATACAGCACCAAAGAGAAAAGTTCTTTCTTGTCCCTGGAGGTCCAACAGTGACTCAGCAGCTGAAGATCTACTGACTTCCAGTGTCCACGACCTCAGGGGAAGGTTTAGCTTTCTTTTCCTGGGAAAAGGTAACGAGTGGACCTAGAGTTCATCTCCTTTGTGTGAAGCTGTGTGAGCGCCTGACACACAACGATCCAGTCACAGAGTCTAAGCACAAATGTAAGAATCCAGTTTGAGGGTTAAACCAAATTACACAAAACGCCCCCAACGTACAGCATTAACGATGTTTGTCTCCGTTTGTTGTTCTGACACGAGTCCAGGCAGTTGCAGACACACAAACCTCTGACAGGAACGGTTATCGATGTGTGCAGCGCCAGACCTCCTTGAATCGCTGACTCATCTGAGATATGGACAGTGACTAAGCGCCTTGGAGCCACACCAATGATGACGACTCTCACTGTGAATTCAGCTGGTAATGCAGGAAGCTGAACCAACTGGAACAACTGATTCTTCCCGTGGTGTGATGATGTAATCAGGAGTTTTACTGAGAGGCGGTGCTGCCAGACCAGCGATTGTTCTTCACGTGGACGATGTTGGTTGGTGCAGCTGGAGATGAAGGTCTCCTTGATCTCGTCCAGGGTTGTTGTAGAGCCACTGATCAGGGAGGCAAACTGCCCCTATGTCACTGCACCTCGTCCTCAGCATCCCTTTAATGTCAATGGGAGCTTCTCGGTTGTGCTGCAGCCGGCGTGTCAACACAGAAATGCCAACTGCATGAATGTGGCCTCCTGGGAGCTCCAGTCAGAGGAAATCCTCCACTCACTTCAGTCAGGGAGTCTTCTCCATGGAGATCACTGAGTGTTGTGATGCTGGTGGCAGTAGCTCTGTAGCTCAGATACCTGACAGTGGAGCCTATCAGGTATCCAAGAGGACAAACGTTCTCTGAATCAGTGAGAAGCTGGTTGTTCCTGGCTCAGAGTGGACATGAGGCCGTTGACTACACAGAAGAGTCTACATGATCCGTCCCCCCACCATAGAGGCAGTCTGCTCTGTGAAGTCTGTGTAGCCTTACGTGACAGACCACGATGCAGTTTCCTGCTATTCCTGACCACCTGATAGACAAAAATGTCTTTGGTGGCTGAAAGCCCAGGTACTACTTGGGTGGTGGTTCTCATTTGGCTCCCACTGAAACCTACTGGGGTTGTGCCAAAAGTCCCTCTGTGCAGTAGAAACCTTGTGTGTGTATTTTGTTCTATTTTTTTCTTGTGTTGTCTTTGATTGCAAGACAGGAATGTTTAGGTTGTTGGTCTCTTGGCGAAGCGTGGACGTCCCTGTGCAGGGCGAGCAGTGTGGGGCTACACCACCGCTGTCCCTGTGCGTGGGTCGACCAGCCACTCCCACACAATCTCTGGTCTGTGCCCACTCTCATTCCACATCACCACAGAATTTTAAAGGGCAGAGGAGAAAAACAAGGGCCCTTTGCAGCCAGAGGACCAGAGAGACGGTCTGGATGCACTGAGTCAGCTGCCTGTAGTCCGGTCTGTCTGGTCCCCCATGCATCGGGTTTACTCCCTGTCACTGAAGCACCTCTGGCAGTGGGGGCTGGAGGAACACTGCCACAGGCCTCTGGGAGATTCTTCAGCAGTTCAGGCTGAGACCCCTCAGAGGAGGACACATGGTTGAGTCTGAGAGAGGGAGAGGCTGGACTGACATGAAGTCCTGCTGAGACTCATCAACACCCTGCAGGCGGAGACGGAGCTACACTCATGTTCTGTATGTTCAGGCTCTTCAGCACTTCTTATTGGTGTGTTGGGAGCGCTGCATGGAACAGCTGTTTGTGGTTTTCTAGTGTCATCATCCACCAACAAACACGTTCCACTATGTGCAATAACTATCACCATTACTACCTCATCTTTGTGTATATAGTCTTCATTAAAAAAAAAGAACTTCTCTCTATAATGCTCTTTTATCTCTTGCATTTCTTTTTTTTGCACTGTGTATTATTGGTTTCTTCCCTACTGGGTGTTCCTACACTATTTTGCACTGACTGTACTTTTATTTTGGAGCTGTTGTGACCGTGAACTTTCTCCACTGTGGGATCAATGAAGTTTATCTTTTATCTTTTATCAACAGGAGCAATGAGTTGTCAAGTAGAGCGTTTGTTCTTCATCTCTGACGGATTAAACTGGCTTCTGTTTGGTAGAATAGCTGTTTGATTTGATGTTTACGTGTCACCTAGGCAGCGGTTCTAATATTTCCACCATTCCTCTGACTTGGTCGGTCTTTGTTCACACCCCAGCGGTACGGGATGCGTTTGATGTGCCAGCGTTTCTTCTCCAATCAGATTGTTGAACAGGCTGATGTTTAGCCTCCATGTGTGGTGCTCATGTCTGTTTTATTGTGTATCGTGTCCCTGATCAGTGTGTTTCTCCTTCCAGATGAGATCATGCAGCAGGAGATCAGGCCCCTGCTGGCCGTGGACATCATAGAGCAGCTTCATCGCCAGTTTGCCTTGCTTTCAGGTGAGTAATGACTCTCCACTGTTGTGCTGCCTACACCTGGAGGTTGTGTCCACACGTATGGATGACTGAACATTAACAGTGAAACTTGTGTCACAGGATCAGGTGCTCATTTGGCAGCTGGTCTAGCTGTGGAAACTAGTGCAGCTGTCCTTTAAGGTTCCTCCCAACAGCTCCCCTTCTCCTTATCCCGTAACCCTGGAGCTGTGAGGTTCATTTTTACTGCTTCTAACACAGAAGCACCTTCCCCACAGTTTCTCAGTGTTGTTTATTGTTTGAGTTGCATCACCAGTAACACGAGCCACAGAAGAAGAAGAAGAAGGACTTTATGTGTAACGCAGCTGCTTGCTTCTCTTGTGACTTTTTATTCTTCACGTGGGGAATGATGAGAAAAACACAGAGAGGCCTTCAGCGGACTGAAAGTCGGAAAGAAAAGGAAACCTGGTGGAGTGACGCTCCAACATTGAATCCACACAACATTCATGAGCACAGGGGTTTCTGTGTGTGGTTGGTTTCAGGCTCATTTCACACTTAAGTCTCATTTAAATATTGCTGTCTTAATGTCCTGCCACTGCTGTTTGGAGGAGTTCAATGTTGATGCAGTTGTGTGAGGCCCCTTCAGACGTCTCTGTCTGTTTAAAGCAGTGAGCTTCATGAAGCAGTGACTGAATGCTTCGGTCCTCAGGCTGCTCTGCCTTCCTGATGAACACTGTTGGGCCTGTATGTAGCCTGCAGGACAGCTTGTGTTCACTGCAGACAAAGACTGCCAGCTAAGCACTAACGAAGCAGAGAATTGCTCGTCAGTCAAGTGAACCCAAGTGTTGACTCAGAGGTCCAAAGCAGAGGGAGTGGTGAACAGACCGTTTATAAAGGCAGGCGAGGGGAACGAACTGGACCAGGGAAATAAAACTGGAGAGCAGCTGGGCTGGCAGTAGGAAAACTGAAGTCAGGGCTTGGACAGGTAGCTGGGAACCTGTGGCTAAGACTTGGACTGGAACCTGGACTGACCAGAGCAGAAGGAAAGGCTGAGGGGAGATCCAGGGAGCTGAGCTGATCACAGGGACAGATGAGGCAGGAGTGGCTGGAGGCAGAAGTACAGGACTGGACACTGGAACTGACCTCCAGTCAGAATAAGACGGCAAAACACACAAGTCTTTGTAATACAGGAGCTATAAGGAAGCATCTATAAAGTACTTCCTCAGTCAGTTGGTGTATTAATGCAGAAACTCACAAAGCATTTCTACTTGTTATTGATTTATGCAGAACTATGAGAAGAGAAAGCAGTGGTTTCATTGCTACTGTTTCTGAGAATTAAACAGGTAAAGACATCGTCACATAAACACAAGAAGGAGAAGCATTAGTCCCTGTAGCAAACAAACAGCGAGGCGCCTGGCTGAATGACCAGACCAGTTCTGGAAAGGTTTATTGCATCGTCATAGTCTGCTCAGATGCAGCAGAAGAACAGCCGCTGCTTCGTTCCAGTTTTGAATAATTTTCATTTCAGGCAGCAAAAGAAAAAATCTATAAAAACTAAGAAAAAAATTGAAATGTCAAAAAAGGGCCACAAGGATGCTTTTTTGTTTGTTTGTTTGTTTTTCCTAGCTTGTCATTTTAAGTAAAAATATGCTGGTGTTGTTGCTGAGCGGATTGAGGAGGAGGAGACAGGAATGAGGTGACAACAGTGACAACCTGCCGGCTACAGAGCTCTCTGTTGTTCGGTCAGGATTGTTTTACTCGTCAGTGAAAAGCCTGGAACACAGAGACCCCCAAACATGGCAGCGAGTGAGCAGTCTGCACTACAAGTCATTGTGTCTGAATCAAGAAAATGAGCAACTGTGACAAGAACCAAACTGTGGTGACTGGACGACTGACCGGAGCTTCTCCAACATGTCAGGTCTCTCTGAGTGTTCCTGGTATGCAGCGGTCAGTACCTTTAACAGCGCTCCACCCAAAGCTCACTGATGGAGGTTCATGTGGTTCAACCCCACTGAAGCGATGCTGTAGACAGATGGCTGGAAACATCCGTGCTGCTGTGGTGGAAAGGTGTCGGAGCTCACACTGGTGCACTGGTCTGATGACTCACGTTGTCTCTGACATCATGTGGGAGGCCGGATGCATGAGTCTCACCTAACGGGGGCAGAGATGGCAGCATGTGAAGAAGGCAGTGGGATAATCTGGGCATCGTTCTGCTGGAAAACCTTGAGTCCTGAATTCATGTGGATGTTGTTTTAATGTGAACCTAAACATTGTTGGACGTCACTTACAGCCCTTCATAGAAAACAGTTTTCCTGGACAGCAGTGGCCTCTTTCAGGACAGTCCTGCTCCCTGCCAAGAACAAGAACATGGAGCAAAGAGTTCAAGGTGCTGACTTGGCTTTCAAACTCCCCCAGATCTTAATCTGACCGAGCATCTTTAGGATGTGCCAGAACAGGAAGTCTGGTCCATAGAGGCACAACCTGCTGCTAGCGTTTGGTGTCTGACACCACAGGACACGTTTGGAGGTCTTGTGGACTTCATGCCTTGATAGAAATGTTGTGTTACTGGTTGTGATGTTGTGGTTGATCTGTGTATTTTACACAGGGCTTAACCAATGACAGCGATCCTTACAGATGCTAGTCGGTGGATGCTCTGGACAGAACCAGGCATCCCTTTGTGTCGTCTTTATGCTAAGCTAAGTGAGGAGGGCTTAGATTAGACTAGATAGAACTTTATTGATCCCTTTTGTAGGGTGCCTCAGGGAAATTGTTGTACTAGCCTCAACACAACACCAACACAACATTAGTAATAATAATAATCAATAATAATAATGGATACAATAACAAAGTTGCCAAGGTGCCAAACTATTACTCACAGTCCGGTGATAGAGCATGTGAATATGCATACATGCATGAAGGTGGCATCTTCTCATCTGTCTTGGCAAGAATGTAAACAAACAGACTTTCAAACATGTCAAACTTTACATGAACGCAGTTTAATCACAGGTTTATTTTTCAAGTTCTTTTGAAAAGCTGACACAGCCTCTGTACCTACACCGTATGCCACCACTTATGAACAGATGCTCACATGTCACAGCTTTTCCAGTTGTTATGAAGGCTGGTCTGGTGGAAAGTCACATCTTTTTCTTTGGCTGAGGCAGGAACAGTGCTTGTGCCACCCCAGCATTCAGACCGGGCTCAGACTTTCCAGATGTGCTGTTAGCGGTGACACAGCGCAGCCTGTGTGGTTCTTCAGGGATGCCTCTCATTCCTTCTCTCAGTCCGCTCACAACAGCCAAAATAACTCCTCCAAAAGCTCCTCTCTCAGCATTACTGACCTCCACAATTACATAAGTTTAACACAAGCCTGGTTTCTGCTCTGCACCATGAGTGCCTTCCTGGTAGGATGTGGGTTGGTGAGCTATGAGCATCCCGTTGGATATTTTGGTCTTTTTCTTAAAATATAATTCTATGATTTGAACTGGAACCAGTCTTTACTTGGTGAAGTTCTGATCCAGTCAATGTCATGTTTTTTGTGGCTAATGTTTAGTTTCATATCTTTTCTTTCTGATTGTCTTCCCAAAAAAAGAAATTGGAAACTAAAAGTTGATTTCTGTCTGGGTGTTTGAAGGACCTTGATGTAAAAGCATCTGCTGTGGATTGAATTACCTTTGTGCTATTAATTACATATTTTTCACTACGGAACACATCCAGCTTTTTATGAAGAAGAGTTGGAGGGTGAATCTGCTGCTATCCTGCACTGAAGTCCACGGAGAAGAGCTTTAGTCTTTGGTTGGTCACTTGGAGGCAGGCATACTTTTGTTTTGTCATTTATGATTTCTTCTCAGTCTTTCTCAATGTTCATGCAATGTTTCCCTTCATTTACTTGTTCAGTGTGTTGAAATCACGAAAGTGGTTGATGGAAAAAAAGAATAAAAAAAAAAACAGAAGTTCATGAACAAAATAAATATAGAAAGACTTTAACTGAACTGAATGCATTTAATTACTGAATACATCCAATGAACTGTATTAATAGTGAATTATTTAGTGTTTTAGGCTCTGTGCTGATTGATGCTATCATCTACCTCAAACAAAAACCTGTCTCACATGAAATCCTGAACCAAATATAAACCAGCCTTACTCAACAATACCAAACGTTTCTCAGCCAGTCGTGCAGGCCGTATGAGACCACATGACTCAGGCCGTCCTCTAGTCCTGCAGCATGTCATGGACACATTTCATTGGATGGCTGTGGTTTAATGATCATTACTGAGTCTGTGTCCAAACATCAAGGAGGATTCAGATGATGTTTCCTGCACTTCACAACCTTTAAAAAGTACACGCCCCCTGAGTTCTTCTCTCCGTATGATGTCATAATGTTTGGGTTGAGATGTCGGGGGATTTTTGGCTCAAGGTCGCCATCTAGTGACTTTTCTGTAGAGGTGTCAGATGGAAAATCTGTGACTTTCATGTGTTAAGGTTTACAGTATTTCCATGACTCAGTTATTTGATGTATGCACATGAAACGTTTTTATTATTATTATTATTATTATTATTGGCTTCTTTAGTTTTGAGTCTTCACAGTAAATGATGACGTATAATTATTGGATATCTAAACTAGAATCATGACTGGCAGCTTTTCAGTCAGTGCATTGCCTCCATAGTTTAGTCTCCACAATGCTGTAATGTTTTATTTGAGAAATGTATTTGTGAACTTCTGCAACAGCTAGCAGCCACAACTCTAGTTGTATTGATGTGAAAGTGCTTCATTAAAGATACCTGAAATGCTGTTTAGTCTAAATATTCAGAATTTCATTGCAGCTATCAGAAAGTGTTTTTCTTCATGGTTATCTCAAATTACAACTAGTTTGTCTGAAATGGAAGGTTTTCCTAGTGAGAGGTCTGTGACAGATATCGAGAATGTTTATTACAGCATCAAACATCTTTTATTGTGGATAAACCAAAATGAAAAGCCTTTAGTGAAGTGACCATTGTGGATAGAGAGAATGTCATTATGGATATCTGCAGTCACGCTCTGTGTCTTTAATGTTAGGATGTCTTGGAGCAGAGTTAAAGCTCAAACACAGGTGGATGTAAATGTTTATGTGGTGTTTGCTTGTTACAGGGGGGCGAGGGAAAGATGGCGCCCCCATCATCACCTTCCCAGAGTACTCAGGCTTCAGTGAAGTGCCAGAGGAAGATTTCCTCAATGTAGTTACTTACCTGACCAGCATCCCCAGGTACGTACACACACACACACACACACACACACACCCACACACACACACACACACACACACACACACACACACACACACACACACACAAATACGCGCTGAAAACGTCTTTTACTTTGTGGTCGTTCTCCCATGATCAGATTTTTTCATTGATTTCGACAATATTCTACATTTTGCACGTAAATAACAGAATTTAAAACATTAAATACGTTAAGTGCGTGGACATCCTTCCCACATTTGCAGCTCGTTGTGTTTGTTCCACCGTCCGTTTTGTTGTGTGCTTTAAACTGATGGTGATAAGTTCAGGGTTTAATTTGTGGCCATAAGTTGGTGCACTTTACAGGTATATGATTAGACCGTGACCTCTCTGGAGATGCTCCTGTTAACCAGCAGCTTTACCACATTTTAAAAATAAAAACAAAACTAAAAGCTGAAACCGCTGGTGTGTGTTTCAAAGGTGAGGCCACACACACACATGATGCAGCACCACCTACAGTATGTGGAGGCTGAACGTCCATCTGTAATGTATGCAGGTGTCACATACCTGTTATTTATCAAAGGTTGTACGTCCATCACGTCTGTCCTCCCTGTGGATACATCCACGGCAGCATTGGACTCTGTTGTCCATTGCTTAGAATATTAGCCTCAGTGGCGTGAGCAAGCTGTCTCTGACTGTTTCATCCCATCCAATCAGACGCTGGGTGTTGAGTCGTGCAGTCCGACCCTAATGACAAACAAGGCCCACGTTTAGTGATGACAGAAACAGGCCACGCCCTTTACCCACTGGTTCCACCCTGTTAACAAACTGGCTGCTTCCTGACAGCAACGGGCCGCCGCTCTGAGCGACCCGGCCACACCCTGGTGAACAGACCATGCTCAATACATAAAATAAACTTTATTGATCCCTCAGCAGGAAGATGTACATGTTACAGCAGTGGCATTAACTGAACATGTCGGTAATCATTAGAGTAAGAGCAGTAAAAGAAGAAAAAGAAAAAACAGAGAAAAGAAAGAAAAACTAAAGTCAGATATATACGAGAGCACCAAGATGGAGTTCAGTCTGACCAACAGAGAAGCTAGAACAAGGTAGCAGTGGGCAGTCATAATGTAGGATGGAGTCGTTTTAACACTTAAATCTTTATGAGTCTGCATTAAGCCAGAAGCTGCTGTCTGCTTAAAGGCATAACAAGCTGCTAGCAGCGCGTCCTCGTGTATGTAAAGTTCTCCTTTCTGACAGTTACACCAGCACAATGCTCTGTAGATGTTCAAGGCTTGTCCTGCATGTTTTGCTGCAGAACTAAACTTGGCTAAAACATCACTGCTTCACTGTGAGAGAGTCTGAGAACGGCCGATCATTAAAATACACATGAGGAGCAGTAAAACACGAGTCTTTGGGAATTCGATTAGACATGCACTTATCCACAAGGCAGCAGTCCACTTACACGTCTCCCTCACCTCCTGTCTCCAGCCTGGATGCTGCCAGTATCGGCTTCGTCATCATTATCGACCGGCGGAAGGACAAATGGAGCTCAGTGAAGGCCTCTCTCTCCAGGATCGCTGTGAGTTCTCTCAGACTTCTTGTATTTAAATAAACACATTCATGGATGTCATCATGCTCTCTGCCACTACTTTGCTTCAGTGTGGTGGTGGACCTGGAAAAAGAGCAGACTCTGAAATACTTCATCTTAGCTTACATGCCAGGTTTGTTGTGTAATTCCTGACGAGGTTAAAGGAAGAGGAGGAAACCGACACAGAGACACCAGAGGGTGAAACAAGGTTCACTGATCAGGAGAAGGGACACCATCAGAGCAGCAGGTCAGGCAGCAATGCCAGCATCAAGTCTCAGGATTCTCTCCTATCTTAGATCTTATATCGTCCTCCGGTGGGAAATCATATCTAGATTTATGGATGGAAGGGAAAACAAGAAGACAGCTCGGTGCCTGGTGCAATCTGGCCTTGAGAGGCACAGGGAGCGCCGGCCTGTCCTCCTACAGTGAACCTACATGGGGTAGACAGGTGTATGTCTGTTAAAGCTTTTATAGCCGGAGGTCATACCATCTCCATTTGAGGAGGCCAGGAGAAGTTTAGACAATAAAAGTTCAGTCTCATCTTCAGAGGCTTCACTGCAGCGAGCAAAGTCGTTCCTCCTTCACAGGAATCTGTTTCTATGCTCTTCTATGCAGGGTGCGTTCCCAGGAAACCTGCAGCTCGTTCTGGTGCTGAGGCCGTCCAGGTTCTTCCAGAGGGCCATAGCAGACCTGGGGATCAAGCTGCACAAGGATGACTTTAAAATGAAGGTACCGGTAAGCATGCTGGCCTTTCACTCTGAGCCGCGGCACAGCTCAGAGCGCCACGGCTCAGAATGAAAGGCCCAAAAGCATAACACACAACAAGCAGGTAAAATACAGTTGACTTAAAATAAATCAATAAAAAGTACTTCTCGTGGAAATAGTTGGCTTATTTTTGACATATTTGGACAAGCAACCACCGGATACTCTTTGATTGAGAGCCGACAGACAGAGGTGGTAGAGGAACATCCAAACTGAGCTTGATTTAAATCCTGATGCCGTCTCTGGTGAGGCAGTGTTTGGTGCAGCAACACACTGCTCTGAGCACCTCTGCTATGCTGCTATGCTGCTATGCTGCTATGCTGCCTGTAAGTCTGGCTGTGTAACATGTCCGGGACCGTCTGCGTATCAAAACGGCAGCCCTGCAACCCGTAGAAGAGAAAGATGAAAACCCTGGTCAGAGTCACTGTGTTTGCGCTGAATGTTCTTCTTCAGACACGTCAGACGTTAGTCCAACTTGGCCTTGTCAGTCCGACCCAAGGAGATTCCTTCCTGGTTCTGGACCACGTGAATGTGGAAGAAAACACTGAGCATCTGTACCCAGACCTGATGCGCCTTCACTCACGACCACAGCAGTCTTGTAGCTTTGTGATCAACCCTCATGCTAGACAACACAGAGGGAGTTCTTTCTCATTGAAAAGTCTTTTAGCAAGATGCATGTGATGTTTGAGGGATTTCTTGCATGTATTCATGTTCCTTATCTAAGTTACCAGCAGACAATGTGAAAACCCAAAAGGTCTCACATTCTCTAGATGATCACTTCTGCCTGTGGGAGTCAACACACGTCAGTGAAACAACAGTCTGTCACACCTGTGCAACACCTTCTATGTTGTTCTGGCTTCAGCTAAACTCTGCTCGTTGATCTTACACGTCCCACAGTGCAATGCTAATACAGTAATAGCATGAAGCCATATGTTAGACCTGAACACACATAGTTCACACTAAAGGTTCAGGCTTCCTGTTGTTGTCCAGGCTCGGCTAACCTCTGACACTCTGGTGTGACAGAGTTGGCTTTACTGTAAATCTGAAGTGGACTAAGCTTGGTGTGTACCAGTGAATCGGTGAAACCCCTGTCATGTGTTTCTCTGTATTTAAAACTGGAAATAACGTGGTCACAAGCAGTCACAGTGATGCCCTGTGTTTGCAGATTGTGATGCTGAACTCGCTGTCCGACCTCCATGGCTATGTGGATAAAGGCCAGCTGACGCGGGAGCTCGGAGGAAGCCTGGAGTACTGTCACAGTCAGTGGATCCACCACCGAACTGTGAGTAAATAGACAGAAACACATACTGTGTACCTTTACCTCAATGCTACTGATGTAGCAGCTTCCAGAAGCTGGAAGGACCTGACAGGACTGACTTTGTGTTAGCGATGTGGTCAGTTTGTTCTGGGATGCTGCAGAGTGACGGTTGGATCTTTTTCTGTAGGCCATAGAGAACTTCGCCTTGACAGTAAAAACCACAGCCCAGATGTTACAGAAGTTTGGGACGGACCTGGCAGAGACCGAGCTACCCAATGACGTCCAGTGCACCAAAGACCTGCTCACCGCACACACCGACAAACACAACAACCTCAAGGTGATGTCCTGCATTCAATACAGCTTACAAGACAACAAAGACTTTCACACACGCTGAAGTGAAAGAGATTTATAACTGCTGGAGCTTCAGGAGACGACTGAAAGCTTGAAGTGGTCCAAACATGTGTGCCACTGTCGGCATTTCAGACTAGATGTTACTGGCATAAAAGAAGCCAACAGTTTGCAAATTGTTCTAATCAGTGAGGGTGGAAGCGTCTTTATCTCAGGACTCGTGGAGGATCTCGTGTTGACCGCTGTAGGCAGCATAAACATCCTTCAGCATTGCTTCTCATCCAGCAGAGTTGGGTGCAAACAGGTTTGATGGCCTCCAGCCTCTTTGCTTTGGATCAGTGGTGCTTCAGAGTCGAGTCTTGCTTGAAAGCACAGCGCTGATTTCACCAAAACTCCACGAGTGCATGCGCAGGTCACAGCAGCTTCAGGCTTACATTAAGCTGTTGTTAGCTGATGTGAGCAGGCCTGAAGCACCAGGCTGGGACATAAAACCGCTTTCATATTTTCTTCTTTGCTAAAACCTCAGTGATACCAGAGTGTACAGACGAGCCTTTCATCAAAGATAAGACAAGTATAAAGCCGACAGGCCTGTGGAGGATAGGTGGCGGACTGGGCCGGTGTCTCTACTGGACGTTGGGATAATGACCGTCAGCCTCTGTTCAAACGCTGAGACCCAAAACAACACACTGGCTTGTTTTTCACAAGCAACTTGCAAGTGGGTGGAGTGTTGAGCGTTCAATTTACATAACTAGCTTCAAAGTTTTCTCCTTCGTTTCACCCGACTCACATGTTTTTATTCTTTATTTTATTCCCAGTTGCTTGTAAAGTTAAATGAAAACTGTTGAAAGCATCTGATGTGATCATCAGTTCCTGTTTTAGATGAAATCAGACTGAAGGCAGCTGCTGCTCACGTGTTTGTCACCATCGCTGTCATTTGCACAAATTTGAATCTTTCTCAGCTTTACTTTACTTTTTAAAGGTTTGTTTCACAACAAATGGCATTCTGTCACATTTGCACACACGTGGTTTGGGTTAACGGTATAACACGGGCAGCACCAGCCTGTTACAGTAGCCTGTGTGTACCGTTATCACAGTGTGTGTGAAACCTGTGCTGTTAGCTTGCTAAATGTAGCATCCCCTCGAGAATATTCTGCATCACCTCATTTCCAGCTCTGCCAGCTCATACTCTGCCAATAACAGCAGTCTGCATATTCCAATACCAGGTGGAAACAGGACCTTGCACATATACATCAGTCTGCTGTTTTGTGCTTTGGCTTCCCAACCTAGAACCAATAGATTCACTTCTTTATCCCCTCTGCCATCCCTCCTAAACTCCATGAGGAAAAAGGCTTCTGTACAAAAAGCTTTCTGTCTTTCTGATTGAATATTTTACTGTGCATTTATCTTCTATGTGCTGCATTCATGTGTTCTGTCTTTAATGTGTGGATCGGACTGCTGCGTAACCAGCTGCTCACAAACTGGGGACAAACAGAGCTGACTGACTGACTACAGATAATATCAGTGTTTTCAATGCTTCTGTATCTGTTCATCAGGATGAGCTGAAGCTGGCTTTGAGGCAGGGCACCACCTTGTTCAGCTGCATCAAGGAGCAGGCGGCCAAGTCAGAGAACCATGAACTCAACCCAGATGAGATGGAGAACCAAACCACAGTGGAAAGGTGACACACGTTATATAAACTATATGATGTCTGTGAGTGTATAACGTAGACGGTGCTGTGGAAACTGTTGTTGTGAATGTGATGAAGTTGCTGTCGTGTGTTTCAGGCTCCTCGCCCAGCTGGATGAAACAGAGAACGCCTTTGAACAGTTCTGGTGTAAACACCATCTGAAACTGGAGCAGTGCCTGCAGCTACGCCACTTTGAACAGGACTTCAGAGAGGTATATCTGCAGATCTGTCGGCCTGTGTCCGCCCGGCCGCCGCTGGCCTGCAACCTTTGGATCTCTCCTGTGTCTCCTTTTCATTCTGCTTCAAAAGGCCGCAGCTGTAAAATCGCAGTCTGGAAAACATGCTGAACAAAACAGCGACCAGCTGAGTCAGTCTGGAAGTGGTCCAGTGGAAAGTTCTGGTACAGGTTGCATGGCAGCATGTTGAGATGAGCTGGTGTTCTCCACATCCCCAGTGTTTGATCATGTAGGATGTTTGAGAAGTTCATTCTTCTTCAGATCACTTCACGAAAACAGAAACTTTTTTCTAGCTAAATTGTTTTATTAATTCAATAATGAAGCAACAGCAAAACTAAAATGACAGACGATGAGGAAATAAGAAATAATAGAAATAACTAGAAACATTTTTTGACTTTAGTGAAGCTGAGCCTGGATAGATGGGAGAAGGACCATCACTGTGTTGTAGGTGCACAGGGAGGCCAGTCGATAGCTGCTAGAGGAACAGATGATCTCTGAGCAACACAACCGACCTGCTCAGGGCAGCTTCCATCAGCAGAACACAGAAAGGGCTTCTCACGCCTCACATTCACACTGTTCAATACATGTCTGTGAAAGTTCCTGAACAGGACAGAGTAAGTTCTGATCCAAGCATGTTCATACATCACGTCATACACACTGATAGGTGATGTTTGAGGCTGCAGAGTGTGTTCAGGCTGTAGCTCTGTACAAGGAACGGTGGCACAAGACAGGAATAAATGTTTGGGAGCCAGTTGCTAGAATGTAAACAGTTGAGGTGTTGTGTTGCTGCCAGCTGAAGGTTATGAGCCGTAGAAGACTGTTTAGATCCAACACACGTGTGCTCTGATTGGCTGGATGAATTTGTGCATCAACACAGCATCATAACACCAAACACGCTGACCAGACTGTTGTACACATTTCAACACTTCACAAACCTGTATTAGAAGAAAAAAGAAAGACACAAGCAGCAGTGGTTCATGGCAGAGTTACGGCGCCACCTGCTGACAATGAAGAGAGTCCTGCTGCAGATTTACTCCCATGGTTCAGGGTTTACTGATTCCTACATTAGAAGAAACTTCACACCAAATACAACAACCTACAGCACACATGTGACCATGCTTTTGGTTTGCATCACCACAACATATCATCAGAGTTTATCTGTCTTTTCTCTGTGTCTGTCCTCTCTTTGGTCCTTTAGGTCAAAGTGTCTCTGGACGGTCTGATCGAGGCTCTGAACAGCCTGGTGGATATCGGGGACTGTGTGGCCAGAGTTGAACACCTGCTGAAGGACCTGAAAACACTGGAGGAGAAGGCTCAGGTCAGCCAGCACACACACACACACACACACACACACACACACACAAAACATAAGCAAAGTTATTACTCCAAACAAAACCAGACTGACCTTTAACGGGTTGGATGACGTCGGTGGTGGTGAAGGGCGACTAGAAGGTCGTCCAGATCAGTAATTCATTTCACTATATTGAAAACAAAAGCACCACTTTTCATCACCAACAAACTAATCAGTGCCTTAAATAGTTCCTGCTGTTTGTCTTTCTCAGTTTGAAATGTGAACATTGTGTTGCCCTCATTGTAGCACTGAGTGTTCCTCTGTGTCTCAGTCACTCAACTTTAAGTCATGACAGACTTGATTGGACTTATTTAAAGTGTTGTTCCATGAACTCTACTGATGTCCAGGTAAAGACTCCACTGACACACACCTTGGCCTTTAAAGAGCTGCCCACTTTAGTGCCGTAGGTAACAGAACCACAGTCAGGACAGCTGACTGGAGAAGCCCTGAAGTAGACAGCGTACACTGACGTACAGTGAACTGTTGTTCCTCCAGCCCACGGTAGAGAAGGCCCAGCTCCACGCTCTGCACGGCGACCAGCTCATCCAGAGCAACCACTACGCCGTGGACTCCATTCGACCCAAATGTGTGGAGCTCCGGAGAGTCTGCGACGACTTCAGCAACGAGTCCAAGAAAAAGACGGATGTCTTGACCAAGTCGTTGCAGATACACATGGGCATTGATAAGGTGAGGATGTGGTGTGACTTTTACAGACATCTAATCCAGAAACACGAGTTAGATGTTCTGCACTCGGGTCATGTGTCCTAGTGTCAAGTCAAAACAGTCCTAAGATTGGCTGTTGATCAGTGTTCACTCAGTCAGAATTCGTTGCTTGTGCAGGTGAACCAGTGGTGTGAGTCTGGCATCTACCTGCTGGCGTCCCAGGCCGTGGACAAATGTCAGTCACAGGAAGGAGCAGAATCAGCCCTGACTGACATCGAAAACTTTCTGGATTCAGCAGAAAAGAACCAACTGACTGAACTGAGGAACCTCCACAACCAGTATGAGGTCATCCTGTCAGAGGAGATCAAGGTATGAAACATGAGTTCAGAGCACGTCTGGTTACAGGAATGATGAGGACATTGACTGATAACGAGTTTTGTACCTGCAGGGTAGTGTTCTGAAGGCGCTGAAGCGACTGGAAGACGTCCAGGAGATGTTTGAGAAGCGACACGTGAGTCTGAAGAGGCTATCAGCTAAACAGACGAGGCCCATCCAGCCTGTTGCCCCCCGGCCGGAGTCCTCCCCCAAGCGGCCCTCACTGAAAAACCCCCCCAGGACCACAGCAGGCCAGCAGCGTGAGTTGGATCGTTTTAAAACTAATCTAAATTATGCAGAAGATCAGGAGCTGAAGCAACAGTTTGAAAACATCTAAACTTTCACTGCTCCTGTCATGGATGACACCCTGAGCTGTGGACTTGAACAATACTGGACAAGCTTCTGCATCTACATTTAAAGACACTAACCGTAAAGAAACGAGGTGTTCAACTCACCTGTTCTGTGTCCTCTCTCTTCACTTCAGCTCTTGCTCGCAGAGCTTCTGATAACTCCAACAGTGGAAAGCAGCCGGCTGAAGCTGATCTCAACAAGAGGAAGAACATACGCAAAACCAAGGGAGGCATCAAGGTACGTCCTCTGGACATCCTGTGAGATCTCACTGCGACGTTAGAACCCTCGTTAAGCGCTGCTCGTTTCAGAATAAGACAGAGCTCTTGACCAGGGCAGGTTTTCGTCCCTTTCTTTTTTTAAATTTCATATCTCGTATACCTAAATTCAGAGTGTGAAAATGCGTCCACGCTACACTTACCACAAAAACTAAACTGTGGAATGAAAAGTATTGTCCACAGCATCCATGTTCCTGCTGCTAAAAACACCAAAACTCACACATCATGGTTTGCAGATACCACAACACCAGCGTTGTGGCAGCCAGCGGTGACGTTATTAGACCGTCTCTGCTGCTGAGTTTGCTGTTCAGCATCTGTTTTATAGGGGGAGTGAACAAAGAGGGGATTCAGGACATTAATTACACAATCATTTAATAACATGGCGACTGGCATCAGTTTCCTTCAGAGTTATTAAAGCAGTGCTGTATTATTTTTAGAATAAGGTCCAATAATCAAGTGGAGTTCATGTATGATTTCCTCGTTGCTGCCGTGTCCGACGCTGTCTCGTTTCCTTCTGCTGTAACTACAGCTAAACATAGAAACGCTGAGTGTTCACTAAACTCAAACAACAAAGCTGCATTTAAACCACATGCTGTATCACATCATCATGGTAAGAAGAGATTTAACAGGTTTTGTCCAACTAGTGGGATCACATCTTATCAGGTGTCTATGATGCAGTCTGAGGATCCTTCTCAGATGGTTTCACCTCCATTCACACCTCCAGGCATGTGAGACTATACGAGTACAGCTGGTCAGCACTACACAGAGTTTTAAGTGTTCATACAACTTACAGACAGTGTTTGCTTTTGGTTTCATATGTCTGTCCACATCAGCTGCCCCTCTCTGGTATATGTCATGAATTCCAGTGAATCACTAGACCAGCATCTGCATTGAACTCTGCATGTCTGTGCTGCAGCAGGAACAAAGAACAGCTTTCCTGTAGCTCCAGTTAAACATTTACCACCAGCTGATGTGTCTTCTGACTTTACAAGTTTACAGAAGTGGCCTGAATGTGCTCCTCTATCAAGACACAGCCCAAGAAGAAGACATACAGAAGTTACTGTGGTATCTACACAACACATAAACCCTAACAAATAAATGTGTGTGTTGCAGATTGAGGTGATGCATGAGGAAAGCCAAGGAGGCTCCACACATGTTGTTGTGACAAATGAGACGGAGGAGAGTCTATCCAACAGGCGCAGGTAAGCAGCGTTTCTTTGCATCACTGTTAGCACCAGTCTGCCATCCCGTCGCACCGCCGTGTCAGATTCCACAAACCAAGAGCACAACTCGTACCATCGACACTGATTTGGCAAAACGCTGTGCCTGGTTGGACCCACGTGAGATTCATAGCTCTTGACAGACGTACGCTGTCTGTGGAGAGCACATTGCAGACGTGCTGATGTCATCCAGGTGACAGCGGTGATGCACGGCTGGTAGGAATGTAGAAGCTCAACCTTGTGTTTTTCTAGTACACAGATATACGACATCCTTCATCTGTCTGGTTGAACAATCAGTGCAAATAGTACAAAGTGTCTCCGACTGCAGAGACGCTCCCACATCACGCTTCTAGGTCTTATGTTGGACCGGGTTTTATTCCTACTAATACACTATTATGAACTGTTATAGATGATGTGCACAGCGGCATACAAGCATGTGTGTCCATGTGCTGAGCTGAGGTTTATGGTCAGAACAGAGAGTCTAAACATACATCAGCGTTTCATTCATTCATGCCTACAAGAAGGTCCTTCTGCTGAACTGGACGATACGAGCTCCTGATGGTGGAGTCAGAATACTACATCTGCTAATTTTTATCGAATAAATGATTGAAAAGTCATTTTTTCTCGTTCAGTTGTTAAAGTATATCACCTTCATCTGTGGACATTTAGTCACAGGAGGTGAAATGTTGTATAAGTGTGATGCAGGTGAGCAAAGCGACGGCAGGTCAGGTAACGTTACAGGCTGGGAAGCAAAACAGGTGGGAGTAGGAGGTCTGCAAGTGACAGCAGAGTGAGAATGTGCAGCACAAACAACTTGAGCAAATGAACCAAGTCTTATGCAACTGACCTGAACACCAGAGAGGCCGCAGAGAGGCAAAATAAAGAGCCTGGAGGAAGATAATGGCATTTGCATTCAGTCGTGTCTCCATCCAAAGACGCCTCATCTGTGTGTTAGTTGTATGAGTCTGAGAACACAGACAGCTATTAGTGATGGCGTGGAACGAAATGTGGCCCAGTGTGATATCAGAGGTCAGAAGAATCTATTATACGTGGGATGCTCGCATGTATAAAAAGTGTGCTGTTCGTCGTGAGAAGAGTTTTCTGTCATCGACAAATGGATTAATGTGGAAAACATGTCATTATGAGAGAGAGGGTGACTGTCTCACCCTGAAATATTTACCACCATAAATGATTGAAACAGAGCCAACAGTGTTAGTACCTAAAATAAAAAACACATTTTTATATTGACATGACGATTCTGCTGAGTCATGCTTAGTGGGCATGACATCCCTCTGAAGGTCATCCTTGGAGGAACATTTACTTTTTAAGGCACTAAACAAATTGATTTGATCTCATTTAATTAAATAACATGCTGAGCTTTGGAGTATAAAAGAAAAACAGCACAAACTGTGTGTTTGGTTTCGTATGATGTGTTTCTTTCTGCTTCCTGCTCATTTTTACTCATGATTTCATTTTTCCTGTCCTCTGTGGAAGCAGCCCAACCACGGCTAAAAGTACAGAACTCACAGACGTCTTGAATTAATATATAAATTATTAACAGGTAAAAATGGGGGAAAAAAATCTTTTATTGATTTAACAAAATTTGGAAAAAGACTTCATCACGTGTTACCAGCAGTGGAATAAAACACGGGCTCCACATGCTCCAGATCTACAACTCTTTACATTTGTTTGAAGCTACTCTGCAGATCGGCTCTAGAAATACGTTCTGCGTTGCTGAATGTGCCTCCTCTGTACGTTCTGTTTGAGCCGTGCTGCGTCCCGGCAGCCTCTGTTATCGCCGCCTCCCGCTCTCTGTAAACTGTGGTTCAGCTGAACAGTCTTTGAATTTTTGTCCTGTGACTGTTCAGCTGAGTCAGTCGCTGCCTCTGAGGAGGGGGAATGCTCCGTACGCTTCCAGGACATGCTCTTCAGTGGAATGCAGTGGTTTCAACCTGTGGACATGAAGCTGTGTCAAGATGTCAGGCTTTACATGATGCCTTCACAGACCACCAGGAAGCTGAAAATCCACCTTCTGGCTCCAGTGAACAGGTTTTGTGGAAACTTGCCGATGAGTTTTCAGGTTTATTGCTTTTGGGAGAATGAGAGAAGCTTGAAATAAGTCAAGTCCTTATCCAAATTTCCACAAACCCTTTTTATTTTTATTTTTTTTAAATAAAATTGGTGAATTAAAGTGCATTTAAAGCTGCTGCTGAGATAAACAGCTGATTGCACTCAGCCGGAAGTTGGGCGACGTTAAACCGCTGCAGAAGACGAGATGATGTGAGTGAATGAGTCAGACGTGATGGAGACATGAAGGAATCTCATTCATGTGTGTTTTATACAGTTTCCCAGTTGGTCAACACAGACGTCGTGTTTTTAGCTACTGGATGTTCTTGTTTTCATTTAAATGCAGCGTTCGGTCCACGTGTGAATCAGAAGCTTCATGCAGATGTTTCAGTTTCTGCTGCATTAAGATCATCTCAGCTTTTTATTGAAAGTGTGCACAGCGAGATGGAAATCCCCCTGACGGACAGAAAGTTAGTGTTGATGGCGTCTTAACAGTTCAGACATCCTGACTTTAAATGACACATGGAGGTCCAGTTAACTAATCCAATCAGCCACTAATACAATTAAGTACATCTGCTTTCAGTGTCGTGTGTTGGCAGCAACAGTCGAGCCAAAGAAGAGTCAAAAGTTGAACCAACCGTCTGCCTCACAGCTTTCTGAAGCCCATTCAGCTGCTGCTCTCTTGATGTGGCATCACGTTATTTGTTGTGTGAGGTGAAGGCTCTGCTGCATGTCTCAGCATCTTCAACTATATTCAAAAATGTAATTTAAATGGACACTTTTTTTTTCCCCACTGTTGCTTTCAGCACCTGCTCAGATCTAATTTAGCCAAACGTACTGTAGCTAAAGCCGCTCACCAGCCACACTTTGGATTGATCATGAAAGCTGGTTGATGCATATGAAAAGCGATTCGAGTGCAGCAGTTCAAACCAAGTAAATGACAGAATGGACAACAATCAAGTTCATAACATGGCTCTTTTAATAATAGAAGCTTCCCAACAATAAAAAATGTCACGATGATTCAGCCCGTCTGAGCGTTTTCATAAAACACACAGTTCAACAGGATGCAGAGGAGCAACTGTGGCGAGAAAGGAAGAGATTGTCAGGAAAAGAGGAGGGAGGAGTGTGGTGAGGAGGACAAACACATCAGGAAGGAACCTTGAGATGTCGATGAGTCCCAAGCTCGCTCACAATGGAAATAAAAAGATGCACAATAGCTCTTAATCACCCTGTGACCCCGACCGACTCAAACAGCTTCTGTTTTCTGTTCTGTCTGCACTGTGTAAAAGGAAATGCAATCATCTGGCATCGTTTAGCTCGGTCTGGCACACACACAGCCTCTCTCCAGCTGGTGAGCTGGTGTCCAACAGGAAACGTCTAATTGCACTTAGTCAGCCTGATGTGGGGAAATTCAAAAAGTTACGCAAAACAAACACAAGAAAATGCACCAGTTGCTAACGTGTGTGATTTATGGCCACATTGCTACTGCACTCTGCTTCAACGTTATGATCCAAGCATTTATAAAACCAATGAAGCTGGTCAGATTAACCCTCACATGGCAGCTGCATTATCAAGTCAAACAGTTCTGGCACTTTGCTGAGCTCGGGAGTTTGTGAAGCCGCTCATGGAGCTTTGATAGACGACACAGCCTCAAACAGTAACAACACATTACTGCCAGAAGCTGATCTGTGCGGAGCATGAAATGAACTCTGTCGATTGCCTGAGTAAATCCATAATTCATCATATTGAACTTAAAGTTTAAAAGTCATTTGGACTCTCCAGGCAGAGCTGAACCCCTTCAGAAAGCAATCAGAACCTGGCAAGTGAATAAAGGAGTGCAGCTCTGTGCACACAGACACAGACGGTACTCGTGTAAACAGAACCTGACGTGTTAAATAAAGAGCAAACTGCATTTGTCTGCTTAACAGAACAGGTTTGATCCATATTACAAGAGTACGTGTGCACCAGACAGCCAGTGGAAGGTGAAACAGACCATGGCAGTGCTGTGAGGTATCGCTTTGTGTCACCTTCAGACCATTTATGTAAAAGCAGCAACACAGGAGTATGTGTTCTGGTAGTACGGCGTACACAGCAGCATCACTCTCACTGCCGTGCAGTACACATTACCCATGAATCCCTGGGAATGTCTGTATGTCTTAGGGTCTGTTGCCGCCTGCCAGAGTGAGCGCACGTCTGTGGCGTGACCGTGTGACGTGATCATGTGATCATAGATGCAGGGATGGTACGGAGCCTTGCCCTCGCCTGAAAAGTACACATGGCCCTGGGGAGAGATCCCCATGGCCTTGGCACACATCCCCATGAAGACATCGTCGATGTACATGGAGGAGTTGAGCAACCGAGTCGCCTGGTAGATCTTAGCGGCTACATCCCCTGAAACCACATACCCTGCTCCTGCCGTGTAGTCTGGGTAGGAAGGCCAGGGGTACAGGGCGTAGGGAACGTGGTATTTGCTGTCTTTGCGGCGAACCGGAGGGGCTCCCCTGTGCACGTGCCCCACCCACAGGCCTTTAGCCCCTGATTGGCTACTCAGGAGATGCTGCAAATACTTCACCAAATTCGGCATATGGACGAAGATGTCGTCATCGGCAGACATGAGGAAGTGCGCCTGAGGACAGTAGGTTTGGCTCCAGTGGAACTGCAGGATCAGTTTAGTTGTCAGGTTGTGGAACGTGTCCACAAAGTTCTGCTGGATCAGGTCTCCGTAGGTTTGATCCTCCTGCAGCAGCGCCCTCTGCACCTTGGATCTCCCCTCGACGTCTGGATGAACGCCGATGGCAAACACCAACCTCACGCTCACCCCAAGTTCTGCCCAAACAAAGCTCTCGTTGCCCCACGTGTCCCTGATGGCTTGCCGCCGCTCAGAGTTCTCTGGGGATGACTTCACAAACAGAAGCAGGAGGACGTCGTCCCAGGTTCGTCCATCTCCGCCTCCACATTTGCCTGGGTGGTTGATGAGGTAGGGGTAGTTCACGGGCCCACTGGCCACTCTGTTGGAACCATCCTTGTTGTGATGATGGCTGGGGGTGATGATGAGGGAGGAGTTGAGGAAGTCGTAGCTGTTGATCAGGTAGCGGTAAGTGTAGGACCTCATGTGGCTGACCACGTGGTGGTCCAGCTCCTCCCAGCAGACCACCATCATGCACAGAGCCAGGCCTGTAGTCAGCAGCTGCACACACTGGCACTTGTGGATACGACGGAAGTTCATGAACATGGTGACTGCTGCTGTGTCCTCCTGATCCCGTCTAGATGTGATGGTACACGCTGGTGCTTTATCTCCTCCTTTCACGCTCAAACTTGGCCTCTCACTTCTCACCCTCTGCCTTTCCCTTCATTTCCACATCTATTCATCTTCCTTATCATCTTCACTCTCTCTCTGTCTCTCTTCTGTTCTTCCAATCTGCTTTTCTTTTTGAGGCTGTCAAGTCCAGCAGGCCTTCGTCAGGCTCTTCAGCAGTCTGGCTGCTCCATTACTGATCTCCGTCGGCTGTGTGGAGCCACAGCGCTGCTCCCTCATCCTGGTCACGCTGCAGCCACCTCCGGCTGAAGCTCAGTGTTGCTCCTTCACCAGCAAAAGTCAACATGCAGCTTCTTCCTTCTGAAGACTTGTTTCTCCACTTTGCTCCACTTCTTTATCTGCCTCCTCTCTGGTCACTGTGATCTCAGGACATTATCAGGCCACAAAACACCTTGAAAAAAACAGAAACAATCACAATCAGAACCATGTAGACATGTAGCCTCCACAGGCTTGAGCTCATATCACAGTGAACATGCTGTCATCCGAACATCATCTCAGGTTTTTACAGATGCCATTCATCGTCACAGCACACCATCTACTCTTCCTTCTATGGTTTTGTTTTACTTATGAAGCGATATGTCTGGGCTCTGGCCTCTTGGTTTGCCTGAAGATGTCACCTTGGAATCTGGGAAATGCTTCGGGAATGTTTCGCCACGTTAAAGCTGTTCGGTCAGTTCATTAAATAGACAAAGTATTCGCATTACACACACTGTAACTGACATTTCTGACTGCTGCTTTCTAACTTAGAAAGCACACAGAGTTGTGGATGCAGCTTGTCTCCATTCATGATTAGAAATAAAACAAAAGTCTGTGCTGCCTGGACTCAGGAAAAGTAAAGTTTAGTAAAGTTTTCTCACTCCCTCGTTGAATTAACAGCCTGAATTATTGGTACAGTTGGTAGTTTTACAGCTGCTGAGACCTGATCCCTGTGTGTTTTGTGTAAGTATATGCAAGTTGTATTGTATTATGTTTATCCTGTAAATGAACCCACACACACAGCGGATCAGCGCCAGTAGAAAACACTTCAGACAGCCGTCTGATGAGACGGACCTCATGGACCCTGTTGTGGACTCGACATCACGCTGAGACGCTGTCAGGGCTCATGTCACTGTTGTTGGTGCGTCTTTTGGATTTGTTCGGGACGCTGGTGTTTACGCATGTTGTTATTCAGGAGCTTCCTCCCTCAGGTGTTTGCAGGTGTGGCGGTAGTGTGTCCACCTGCAGGTTTCACTGTGTCACCACCAGCGTATGTCCAATCGTAAAGCTCCTTCCAGTATTCAGTGATGTCCAGAGTCTCGATAGGATGCTTCAGCTTTATTTCTGTTGAGTCTTAAAGTGCGTCTTTTATTTTATGACATTGCTCCTGGTGGGAAGAAACTTTTTCCATTGACTTCAGTATTTCCATTTCATGCTGCTTCATACGTCCACCACAACCGCTTTCTATCGCGTCACGTTCATCAAACACCGAGATAAAGATCTGACACAGTAACAGCGTTTTAAAATATAACACATGCTTAAGTATTTAACCAGAGGTTTTCAAACTTTGTGGCCTCTTTCCCAAACCAGCGTGTTGTCGGTTCATGTTTCTGATGCTCACAGCTCCACCGACGTTCCCTCTGCACTTCTCACATGGTTTCTTATTTTATTATTTCAGTAAAAATCCAGGAATAAAAGTTGAAAAATGTAAAGCATCTGTTTTTTTACAGATAATCTTTTGCTTAATTACAATAATATTATTTACCCAAAGCATGTGTGCACATTTTCTTCATTTGCTGTGTTCCAGCGTACGTATTATTGATCTTAATGATAGATCCTGTTTGTCAGATGCCGGATGAGAAAAATATTGGACTTCATATTGAAAAGAGCACAGATATAATTTGCCCGCTCTGACCAGGCTCGACCATCTTTGGACCGCTACCGTAATAAACAACAGCATAAAACCAGGGCGATGCTGCAGACCTGCTGTTGTCACCAGCTGCCTTAATGTTTACCTTCACTGGTTTTTCTCATCCAAACAACTCCACATTCAGCTCTGGGCTTCGTCAGGTCCTCAGCAACACACCGGCCCAGATCCGAGCAGATCGGACAAGTGGTTGTTGAACTGCGAAGAACACACACACCCTCGCCACAAGCCTCCAAACACAGCGACGCCCTGATTTATTCGTTTATACGTTTACTTGTGAGATCACAGTTCATTTTCTCTGCATGTGTTGAGCGTGTCCACCTAAAGGTGAGTGTGGTGCAGATCTACGCCACGCTGGTGGCTCCTGGCACCGATGATCATAACTCATGTGATGAAGCTTTTCCTGGAAGTGTAGCAGTCGGAGCAGGAGAGGCACGAGAAAGCTGTTAACAATGCTTACAGCAGACACTCTAGTGCACACGCTGCCAGACAAACGGCCCTTTGTCTTGGTCTCACTGCGTTTCCTAGTTTTTACTGTTTTATTGTCAGTCTTCTGTCTTCGTACCGACAGCGCGGTCGGTCAGAAGCTACAGTCCACAGGTCACCAAAGGACAGACGGAGACTTTCACAACGAGCTAGTTTATTCTGACAACCATTAACGACAACGCTAAGGGTTCAGGTTGTAGTGAATTACAGCCGAACGCAGCAGATCGCTTTATCAGCTGCTCCTCCTGCTCATACAGGACAGAGCATCCTGTTTGCTCGCTCTGGCTGTGACTGAGCGTGGGTTGACATGTCACCCCCGGTTCTCCTTCTGGTTTCCTCTGAGATCTTTGAGTCTCATGTGTAACCTGCCTTCCTGCCATTGTTAGTCAAACAACAGCGCAGGTCAACCGACTGACCTGAGTCCACTTCGGTCAAGTCAAGTTCAAAGCATCGGTGCGGTTTGTCCTTTAAAGGCAGCGTTTCTGGCTTCATGAAGATGTGCCGTCGCTGCTTCTTCTGTTTTGCTTTAATGGTAGTTTTGCTGATGTCAGTTCTGTCAGCGCCTCCAGACGTGTAGACGTAGCTTCTGAAATGTCATCCTTCACTCCTCCTGGCCTTGTTGTCTGTGTTTCCACATCCACTCCCAAAAACAACCTCTAAGAAGCGCCTTAACAACCTGCATGTGTCACTGATGAGTAGCACCGTAGAACGAATGGTTTATTGTGAATATGCCTGAAAAGACATCACCTGATCTACAAGTTTAAAAATAACTTGATGACTTGACTAACTCTGTTAGGAAAGAATTCATCATTCTAGAATAATTTGGGAGATTTTGTGGGGAGTAAAAAAAGCTTTTCTGATCCTTTCTCATGTGGTTTAATGCTGGTGAAGGTGTCCAGTGTGGTTTAAAGCTTTGGTTTACAGTCAGATGTGGTTTTTCAGTCACCGTACGGAGCTCCGTGGTGCTGATCTGACCTGTTCTTGGTCAACATCATACTTTCTGTGGCTAAAATATTTCCATCCAGCCAACGTTGCCTCGCTGTTTGGAACCAAACCGTTTCCTTTTCCATGCTCCCCTGCTCTTCTTTGCCAACTTTGCTGAGCCCACATGGAGCTCTGAGTTTTAAAACCCATAAGTTGGAGAATATTAGGATCCACCAGACGGACCTCTTCTGGAGAAACGACATTAACAGTCTGAACCCAGCAGGTTTTCTTCTTGATCAAGCAGCAAACAAAGTTGTAGCGTGATGCGTTTCGGTTGACTTGCCTCCACTCCGTCCTGCGATGTGACCAGTGTAAACAGCCGTCCACCGCGCTGCCTGTAACCCCGTGAACTAGGCTGTGAATGGAAGTGCCGACCCAGCACAAAGCGCTATAATAGCAGGGCTTTGGCCCTGGAGAGCCCCCCGAGCAGAGAAGCTGCTGACGTCTGTGCAACGCTGCACACAACAAGCTGAACACATATTTCCACTGCGGCGTATTTCGACTGGACACTGGGGTCAGCCAACTGGAGACCTGTGACGTGGCCCGGCCTCGACGTCCAGCGGTCTCGTGACTAAACAAACCGTGGAAGCTTCTCCAGCTTCTGTGTGCATGTGACGCCTCTTCAAGTCGTACATGTTCTGTGTATACGATCATCTAACTGCTCATTTTAGCTTCTCAAACGGTGCAGCACGGTTTTTAGTTTCACGTAAAGCCAACTTGAGTGTTTACTGTTGTTTTGGGAGGTCTCTTTATGGGAACCACCTCCACCCTGCAGCAAGTTGAGGCTGTTTCTGTTCCGTCCTCCTTTAGACCATAGGTGCAACACAAACACAGTTTAACCATGCGTTGTTAGATCCTCTGTATCGGTACCTGCAGATAGAAACTGTCTCAACACCTTTTGCAGCTACTGTGTGACGTTAGGTGTTGGAACACATTCTCATTCTGCACAAACTTCTTTTTTTAGATGTCCTTCAAACAGCTTTTTACAACCTCAGCACTGGGACTATGAACTGAACAAAGACCTCCAGTGTTTGGAGTTACTTCACTTCTCTCCATTGTCCAGATGCTGCTGCTTGTTCGGCCGTGTGTTGTGTTTAAAGACACTCCTCTTGCACTGAGAGACTCTCTTTTGGCCTTTTCTGATCTTGTGTTCTGTATTTAGGGAAATGTGGAAAACATATTGTGTAAATCCAGCCCTGCTCCACTGATGGTCCATTTAGGCTCTTGTGATGCTGTTGCTATGAGACGAGCTTCTTGTGGCGGCTCATGTTGATGCTTTCAGTGGGTTTCAGTAGTTTTGAAATGCTTTGAACTTTAAACTTCAAATTTCAAAAGTTTTGCCCGACGTACTCGCTGCTTCTTGTGCTGACGAACGTTGGACGGAGCAGCTGGAGGCTTCAGGGTCTGCGACGTTCATTCAGTGTCAGTGAATGTGACTGAGTGTTTGTTCACTGCCTGTAAACACTACGGCTGAATTCTGCTACCTGCAGGCTTTAGAGAAGCTGCTGCAGTTTGCTTAAAGCTGCGTCTGAGCAGAAAGTGTTTCTGCGGCATCCTCCAGTCACCTGACCAATCCAGCAGTCACACAGGTGGTGCTTTGTTTTACTCTTGAAGGTGATTTTCATGGATGTTACACGTGCAACCACATGATTTGCATTCTGGGCTCTGAGCATTTCCAAAACAGTGCTGACGTATTGGGGCTGCAGGTGTCTCGGTGGTTAGCACCGTTAGCGCCTCACAGCTAGAAGGTCGCCGGTTGGCGTCCCGGTGAGGACACCCGGGATCTTCCTGCGTGGAGTCTCCATGTTCTCCCCGTGCAGCGTGGGTTCTCTCCGGGTTCTCCGGCTTCCTCCCACAGTCCACAAACATGCTGAGGTTAATTGGTGATTGTAAATTGTCCGTAGGTGTGAATGTGAGTGTGCTTGGTTGTCTGTCTCTAAGTGTAGCCCTGTGATAGACTGGTTACCTGTCCAGGTGAACCTGCCTTCACCCTGAGTCAGCTGGGATAGACTCCAGCCCCCCATGACCCTGGTGAGGATTAAGGTGGAGAGATGATGGATGGATAATGAATAGAAGTTAAATAAATAAATAAAGTAAAAATAATCAGATGTGTGACTTATAAACCTGATGCAGTCCATGCAGTCATGGAGGATGCTGACCAACGACAAATCACATTTCTAAGGACTGTGTGTCATTAAAACTTTGGCTAATCAGCTAAAAAAGCTCCCTGACACGTGCACAACACCCAAAACTACAAATACTCCATCAGCTGAGTTCCTGTATTTACTGAGAGAGACGCCGTGAACATCCCAGCTCTGCTGCTGAACTAACACCAAGTGAGTGAACAGAGGCGCCGTTTGGATGCATTCAAATGCGTGTTGTGTTTCTACTTGAATAAATACGGCTGTAATGTGAAACGCTGTCACATGTCTCAAACCACAGTGTGAAGAAAATGCAGAAGAAATCAGGAATCAGAATCAATTTAACCTCGAAGGTAGTGAACCAGACAGCAGCAGCACATGTCCAAGTCATGTGGACGCTACACGCTTCAGGACCACGTTAAAGCTCAGCTTTAGCTGTCGTCTGGTGACATGATTTGAGCTGAGATTTAAATGCTCAGGTGCTGATATCTGACACCAAACAGTGCTTGAAACGCCCAGGCCACAGCCAGCCGGCATGTTTTCTGTCTTTCTGTCGCAGACAATGCAGATGGGCTCACATTACGACAATCACAGGAACTCTCTGAGCAGCAGTTAACAGCAGCTGCAGTTTAATTAATGGTACCAGTGAGCGGTGACGCTGTGCCGACGTGTACCTGGACCCGACAGAATGCTGTCAGGGTTACACCTGCACTGATACTCCTGAGTCAAACTGCTGCTGTCACAGAGTTTGACTGATGTATGTTTGAGTTAGTTGACAAGCACAGCTGCCAAAGTAAATGAGCAGCTTTGAATTTAAACAAATGTGGCCCAAGGTGCCTTTCCTCTGGCCGGAGCCGACAGCCGGTCAGCAGCGTGACGTCCTCAATGAGTCGCGACGTCAGCGAACTGCGTTGGACCACAAAGATGTGTCGTCACTCCGAGCTACGAGTATAACACGCATAGAGAACGTGTACGCATATGCTTCTGACTGGGCTCTGGTCTGTTTCATTCTGTCATCTTAAAGTGAAACTAGACAAAGTCATCGTCAGTCACTGAGACAAACAGGCCAGAGCTGCCCTGCAGGTTCACTACATATATAACAGAAGATAAACACTGAACACAGTGAAATGCTGATGTGTTGACTGTATTTCCACCATTTTCTCCTGAATTAAGATGATCTTATATTCAAACTAATAAACGGGTGAGCTCCAGATCAGACACGACGTGGCTCATGGACGGTACTGGAAAGTGATGCACAAGCAGCCAAAACCTGTTTCATGTCGGTTTACTGGCTCAGGTTGACTCATTCAGACTTTACTTCTGTCATCGCTCCCAAGCCTGGAGGTGTGTTACCTTGGCAACCAGCAGCCATACATGTGACCCATCTGTACGAGTCGCACGGCGCCTGACGGTGTCTGACAGGGACAATATTATCTGTTACCTGCATGTAGAACCCAACTGAATGGACCGATCTCAGTGGTAAACCCAACATGTCTACACGTATGGGGCTGTATCTGGGATGTAATGCGACTGAGTTCGTGCAGATGGGTCTCATATGGTCATTTCTAATTCAGTTATTTTGATGTTTATCTGTTATTTCTTCTGTCTTTACGTGTTCGTAGGTGACAGTGTCTACATGTACAATAAATGACCCATAAATCCTGCACCGCCGCTTGTGCTGAAGCGCTGCTCTGAACGCTGAGCGATGCAGCGATGGAGGTGAAACATCACAGGAATGCAGAACGTTTCAGTTATCTGGCCCTCAGTCACACATGTATGTTCAGTGTCATGTCTGCTGTGAAACACATTAAGAATAACTGCAGGACCCACATTTCTGTGGCAGGAAGCCCTCAGCTGAACTCTGCACAAACCAGAGGACTGTCTGACGAAGGAGGTGCAGAACTTAGAAATGTGTTGGGAGAGTCTGAGCAGTTTTCATTTATTCTGATTTGCTGTCTTGGAAATTTGCTTTTTGACGAGAACAAGCTCCTGTTTGGAACACGGCAGGTGATGCACACCAGCAGCACCGAGGATCTGCATTTTGTCGTGATTTTCAGCAATTTAGCAAACAACAGAAGCACTTTGGGTTCATGGATGAAGGACGTTCATGTGAGAACTGGAAGAAGTTGGACGTCGTGACTGACCCTCCACACACTCTCTGGAGTCATCAGGGTCCATCAACACGTGTTGGTTGGCAGCCAGACCAGCTGACAGTCACTCACACTGTGGATGGTGCAGCTTCCACTTCTGGTCCACCGACGTAACAGCAGAGTCCGGCACGCCTTCCAACCCAGAAATACACATCTGGGTTGTTTGTGATGCTGCTTCACATTTGGAAGGTGAAGGAGAAGCCGTGGATGCTGAGTGCTGAAGCTTTGGTAACCTTTTCCCCTCACACATGCTGAGATAAGAGCTTTTCAACCCCCTCATTACTGGGGTGGTTCGAGGGAGCAGGCCAGACTTCCTCCACCACTGGGGACTGTAAACAGCCATATGGACGGCTGGATCCATGACAGAGAAGGCCACAGACCAGAGACCACTGTCCAGCACAGTGCTCCAGACGGAGGGGAAAGACCTGCTGCAGCTACCAGAGAAGACCCTGTTATCTCTGACACCACGCTGGGTGTGTCCACCTACAAACTGCTGTGTCATTTTGGTGTGCGCATAGTGGAACAAACAAAAACTGACAGGAGGTTGGTCTTTCTGGAGGAACGAGGCAAAACTCCTCAGATCCCTGAAGCTCCTGATTCAGCAGCCATGTGACAGAAGAGTCAAGAGGGCAGACGCCAGATCCAGGTCCAGATGTGTGCTTCTGTGGAGAGTTCTGTGGGTTGCCAGCGGTGGCAGGAGGAGGAAGTGGCAGCACGTCCTCCACATGCCCAGAATACAGCGAGTGCATGTGAAGCATTGTGCTCCTCTGGCGTTGGGCAGCAGTCGTACAGTCCGGGATGTGTTTTAGTTAAGAGACATGAAATGCTGCTGATGTTTGTGCTGCGCTTGTTCTGTAACGGTGGAATGTGCTTCATGTATTTCAGTCATCGTCCTCATCAGGGCTTTGGTATCTGGAAGTGTTCAACTTCCAAAAACCTTTTCTAACTTTAAAACTTTGATTTTGTTTATCAGATGTTGACTTGTTTAAAATGTTTGGTTTGAAATAAAGAAAAAAACCCAAAACAAAACAAAACTGTTTGATTGTTCGAACACTTTAAATGCGAACAAGGATGAAAAAAAATCTAATTAAAATAAAATTCCTAATTAGGATCTTGTCATTTATGTTTTTCACTAATATATATATGTGTGTGTGTATATATATATATATACACACATATATATATATTTCAAGTGTAAATGTGTAGATTACAGGGATTAAATGCAGAAGTGAATGACAGTTCTACAGATAACACTATACGAGGTTTATGGTGAGAAGCTTTCTTATTATCAACGTTGTTTGAGAGGAAGTTCTAAAACCGGAATACACAATAAATTCACGATGTTCGACTCAGAACACATCACCAAGAGGCGTCTAAAGTGAAACAGCACCAGGCTTTTAGGCTTTCTGTCCTGTTTGAAGCACCCTGGAGCTACACGGTTCAGTCTGAGCCTATTTCACTTCTGCTGCTCCTCTCTCGTAAACTCTGGATCTGGCTCGGCAGCATTTCAGCAGACAAACCACTCTGAGCTGTGGGAGTATTTACTCGCCTCTTGACACGTTCCCCTGAACCTCTCTAAGTGTGTCAACCTGCTGGTGCAAGCTGACACCTTTCTCCCTGAAGGGTATGTAGACTTCATCTGGTGTTCCCCTGAACGTCTGAAATACCTCAAACACACACACACACACACACACACACACACACACACACACACTGTGGCGCTGACTTACCGGCTGTGCTGGTCCAAACCATGCGTGGGTTCCAGAGCAGAGGAAGCCTCCCCGCTCTGCTCAGACCAGTGCTGGTCTAACAGGAGCTACTTTCCAGCTGCTTCTGCTTTTCTTTCACCGTTTCTGCTTTCTGCTGCTGTGTCAGCTTGTCCTGCTCTCCTGCCTTCAGATGTAGTAATCCACTTGAACAACTGAGCTGAGGCCGGTTCCAGCTGTCTGCTCTGACTGTCCTGAGGTCCCAGACTGAGAGAGGCGCTCTGTGAGTTGGGTGGGTGGGAGTGGGCTGTGAAGTGGGAGGAACCGCTGTGCAGTTGGTGTTGAACAGGCTGCACAGAGACAAAGCTGCTCCATATAGAAACCTGCTGCTGTCAAGCCGGCCTTTGAAAAGCTTTTCAAACTGGTCCAGGAACAGGATCCTGAACAAATATTCGACTGTAATGTTTTATTGCTGAAAGTGAAAATATAACTCAAAACATTTCTATCAGCTGAAAACACTTCCATGATCGCTTACATAGATTTTAAACTATATTTATTTAGTTATTACTGTTGCTACACTGTTAAAAAGAAAATGGAAAAAAATAAATAAAAATAAAATCTGTAAAATCTTCAACAACTTATGGCTATCATAAAACACCATAATAGTAATAATAATAGTAATAATAATAATAATTATTATTATTATTATTATTATTTTTTTTTTTTAATTGATTTTATTTCCTTTTATTTTTGTGACTGACCATCAAATCTTCCTTTTTTTGTTTAAGAGCTGAAACAGTTAAATATGAGTTCAATATCTGCAAACATAATTCTGACCACAGATAATAGATTAATTCTGACAGTTAACAGAAACTAAAGTGTTGCTTCCTTAATTTTATGCTGATTCGTTTGTTAAATGAGAGATTTCTTGTATAATTATAGACGTTCCTGTCATTGCTTTTACATGTTAATATCCCTGATGCACATTTAAACAACAGAACCATGTGATCACATGTAAAATTAAGGCAAGAAAATTAGAGAAATACTGTATTTTTTTTCTTTTGCAATATTATTTTATTGCACTAACTGACTATAAACATTTTTATTATTATTATTATTATAGGTCTGGTGTGTAGACCTTTTTATATAAATGAACATTAGAGTTAAACCGTGACCAAAGGAGTTTAAAACGAGGCTGATCAGGCTTCTCAGCTCTCTGTGCTTCACTGTGTGCTGGACTTTTATATTTGGTTTCACTTGGTGTAACTTGCAATGACTGAGTTGCCAGAGCTGGAGAGGGAAGCAACGGTAGCCATGGCAACACAGCGGGCTACGGCAGGTAGATGTACAGTTGGTCCTCATCCCAGGAAGGTTTCTGATGAAGGCAGTTTGGAGGAAGGCGTTGTAGGTTAAACTGATGAATCGATGGTGTTTGTGTCATGAGCAGAACAAGGAGGCAGAGGTTCCACTGCAGGTTTACACTGAACAGGACTCCCTTAGAGGATGATGTTATTGCTGCTGCCAAGTTCTGGTCCCTGACCTCATGATCCGACTGTAGCTGAGCAGAGAATAGTCAAGTGGAATAAACAGCAGATATTTTTGTTCCTTTATTTAAAGACTGGTGGGAAATTCAACATAGCGCTGTTTATCTCTGCTAAAGTGGGAAATACGAGCTTCTGAGGCCACAAACGTACTGCAAAGGACAGAACAGTACGGTTATCCTTGTGCTGTTGATTTGTCAATGTTTAAATCAACAGTTTCTGTAGAAGTCCTGTCTCACATGACCGTGTAATGCATGTCCTCACCGTGCACAATAAACCTGATTATGTATACGGGGAGGAGGAAAAGTCATGTGTAAAATTGTACAAATCAGTGTCAGCACATATGTTGTGAGCGTTCTGTCAGATAGCATCGCACACATTCAGCTAATGAGCACACAAGACTGGCCCATTGTGTCCACATTCTCAGTTCTAACGAGGTTAGAGGGAGGCGCTGCCGTTACCGTCCGGATCCTGGTGAGCTCTGCAGCTGCAGCACGGATCTGCACCGACGACTACAGACGCTCGTGTTGCTGCTGAAAGTGCAACAGAAGACGTTTGATAACAGAAGGTGTCTGTATGAAAAGAACATCACTGCGTCTGTACTTCTGCTTATCTGTGTACACACGAACACAAGGATGAACTGATGTCATAACAACAAGCTGGAGTTATCTGTTGATTATGGTTACTATGGATACAGTAGCCAACAGTCCTCGAGCAGGAGGTGCTGACTCGTCTTAGTGTAAAGGTCTGAGGAGCGGTGGCTCAGGGCTGAGGGCTTTGGACCAGCGATCAGGAGGTCAGGGTCTGAGATAGCTAATTATCTCTTATGCATGATTAGCATTTTTAAGCTTGTTTCTAACACAGACTGTTTATAAAGATGGACGAATGCCCCATAACGTCACCGTAGGTTTCCTGAACACAGGTTTTGAAGCTGTGTGTGGAGGCTCCAGCGTCACCGTGTTGGCAGGGCCTGGCGCTCCATAACTCCCAGAAAGCCAAGAGTGAACAGAGGGATGGGGAGTGAGCGGAGCTGAGGTGAGCCACACAAGTGTCTCAGAGTCACAGACAAGCCGCCGGTTACTCAAAGCAGCAGCACCCACGACGATGCACAACGTCAGACATTAATAACGCCGTAGTCATGGACGGGGAAGATAGCTGTTCAGACCCAAATGACTTTTTGTACCAGGCTGGAAACGTGTCTGTTTCTGCTACCAAGTTGGAAAGGCTGGACCTGAACATCTGAATATTCAGATATTCATCATTAAATTGGCCCGAATATCCAGAGCCCAGAAGTCGGGCATTTTAACACGAAGCTCTGAGGGGCTGACTTGCTTTTGGAGCCTCAAGTGGCCGTTGGACAGTTTGCTATTGGGCATAATTATAACACTCTGGCACGTCTCTCTGAAGCATCAAACATAGTTAAAGGTGAAGATGAAGCAGTGCGTCGTTAAAGATGTCTGATTTTTCAAACTCGTTGTGTGTGATATCATATACATATATATATATATATATATATATATGATATATTGCTGTGTGTTTGTCTGCAGATCTAGGTGCACATATGAACAGTCCTCATGCACTCACCCTGACTCATGTGTAGCCTTCAGTCAGCTTCTTCCACTGAGCGTCTCTGCTCTGAGGTTTGTCGTGTGACGACTTCAGGCCCACCTCATACCAACGGCGACAGACACAGGGCCGACAGGAGAGCAGGAAGCAGCAATAATCACTCAGAACGAGGTTCTTTTGGCGTCATTAGTCCGCAGCATGCGCTACGTAATTATCCACTGAAATGTTATTAGTGGACCAGGAGCAGTAATTACATTCTGTCACTTATTGGCTAATCATATGGACCACTAATGTACTGTATCTGTGAGATGGTGTCCTCTGTGTGTCTGGAGCTTTAAATCAGCGTTGGGTTGGCTCCACTGTTTAACATAAAGTGTACGTCTTAAACTGAAGACGTGGGGTTTGGACAGGAAGGAGACGGAGGTGTTGTCTCGTCAACAAGCTTTTGTTTTGCATTGTGGGATAATCCACAGCTGTTGTTTTTGTTGTTGATGATAATGCAAATGTGAGCAGACAGGTCTGCAGGTAGCTGCCCGGGTTCCTCTGCTGGTGATGCTGCCTTCACGTTAAACTGTAAACGTGGTTTCAGGAAGTGACTACAGTGTAAATCTACTGCTTTGTTTCTTATGATTCACTGATCAGATGAAGTGGCTGAGATCGATGTCGAACTCCTCCTTCAGTCTGATGTGTGATCTTTAAGCGATTACAGTGATACGAACTCATCCTGTATGTCTGAGCTGAGGTCATAATGAAACGTCTTAGATTTAAACTGCCAGAACAAAATGGGCCAAATGTGCATAAAAGCACTGGATTCTTATTTCCAGTTGGATCTCTTCCATCCTCAGACCAAATGAGCGTTAGATGTCTAGTGGAAATGAAAGCACATGGAGTCGTCGTCCCCGCATTTCATTCATGGTGAGGACAGAGATGAAAAACCATGTTTCAGGTGGATGTTACATGTTTGAGCTCAAACATCCCTGTGACGACCATGCAGCTCTCTCAGGATTACAGTGACTCATAGCGCCACCTGCTGTCATGGAGGACAAACTGCTGCGGCCGTTTCTGAGACAATCCTCAGTCACAGCAATCATGATGTGTTCTCTCTTTTTTGTATTTGTGAGTGGTGCTGTGTTTGGGTCACAACCTGATAGACATATGCTGTATTTGTCTAATAGGCACGTTTCACATTTGCAAAACAAACTGCATTGTTAATCGTGCTATTTTATTTGCAAACCACACTGTGAGCTGCATGTCAAAGTTTTGGCAGGAAAACGTCTCCATCATCCCATCAGAGCTGCGCTACACGGAAGAACTACTTCCTTTTCATCCAGATAGTTTCTTGAGGGGATGAACTGTGGTCAGAGGGTCTCATTATGACTGTCTCTGTCTCTGCAGACACATCATGACCGAGCTCATTGAAACGGAGCGGCTGTATGTGGAGGAACTGCAGAGCATCATGGAGGTACTGTATTTCTTGTGACTCTTGGATTTTCTTAACTGTTTTGCATAATGTCGTGTCTCACATGCATGCAAAATAGCTGCAGCCCTGCACCGTCTGCTTGGATTTGTTTCTGCTCTACGTTGCTCTTTTGAATGTTTAGCGTGCCCTTTTATTTTAACACATTAAATAATCATTTCAGTCAAATACCTCTTCATTGCCCTCAGCTTGTTGTGCCAAAACAGCAGCAAGAACCTTTGGGAAAGTAATGTTAGTGTCATTTCATAGTTGCTCATTGTTGGTTTTAGCGCTGTGACGCATTTATAGATAATGAAGCAACAAAAACTAGCGTTTATGAGTCACATTAACATGGTAGTAAATTATATTTACATGTACTGTACGCAGGCTTATCTGTACTTTGCTGTTTGTTTTCTTTCTGGCCACAGGTGTCCATCTGTGGATCAGATCCGACACGATTTAAAAACATCTCTTTAGCTTGTTGTTCTCGAGCTGAGATGATCGTGATGTTTTGCTGTTGTGGCTAATTTTGGTAAATTCTGCTTCTGTTTTTCTTCTCAGGGTTATTTTGCTGAGATGAACAACGCTGAGCTCAGCCACCTCATCCCTCCGTTGCTGGAGAACAAAAGGGACGTGTTGTTTGGCAACCTGCCGGAGATTTATGAGTTTCACAACAGGTAGGGGAAATGATTTAGAGCATTGCCCGGTCATGTACACTGATATGAGTAATGAACAGAGTGGGCTGTATTATCAGGTACACATCTGGACAGAGGTGTGACTCGATCTAACAGGAAGTTTCAGAGAGCAGCTGGAACGAACCGTTGCTACCGTCCTCCACAGTTAAAGCAGTGGCTGTTTGTATTCATGTCCTCCACAGCTACAACAGTCTCTTTCAGTGTTCTTCTCTCCATGAATGAGAGGTACAGGACTTCTACATGTCCAGGGATCCTTGTAATCACTTCCATTCTGAAGCACAATGCTGCAACTTTCCAACAATCACTGTGGAAAAAACCCACAGAAATATGACTTCATGCAACTTCACATCTTCCTCTGGTTCAGTGGCAGCAAACTGAAGCCAAGAGATCAGCCTGTCCTGACTTTTAGACACCAGCAAGGGTCAGAGTCTGGAAACAGTGCATTCAACAGCTTCCACAGCGCCATCACTGGGCTTTCTCTTGGATTCACCAGGTCTAAAGACTTCTCCGAACGCTTCGTGGTCTCCAGAACCAAGTCAAGTTTAGCTGAGAGTTTTAGGCCGTGTGACAAGTTGTTGAATCTGTTTACATCTGTGTATCCAAGAACAACTAAAGCGTCTGATGTTGTTTTATCTTCTGCGTTTGTTCATGACTTACCTGCAGGACGTTCCTCATGGAGCTGGAGAACTGTGCAGAGAAACCAGAGCTGGTGGGAACCTGTTTTCTGAAAAGAGTGAGTCGCTGCACAGTGACCAGATTAAAACTTTTTCTGCCACATCTGTTGAATATTTTGGGGCTCAAAGCTTAAATGTTAATGCGCTGTTATATCATACGTGTTTTTTTTAAGCTTAACAAACGTAACAAAACAAAAACAGGTCATGTTGCTGCACTCTTCTAAGAGTCAGAGCTCAAAGTATGAACAGACCATGAATCAGTCGTTGGCAGGAGGTTTCCCCAGCAGCTGTCATCAGAGCTGATGAATCCTCTGACTCCATCAGTCGTGTGGTATCACATCATGGACATCTTGAAGCAAGCTGCAATGCTTTCACATTGTGACATGCTGGGGAAAAAGAAAGAACCTGTCCTGTGCTTCTTTAATGAGCAGAGCATCAGACTGTTGTTGGTGTTACGTTTAATGAGCCACTGGTGGGTTTAAATCAGGTTCCAGTCAGGACTAGGATTTCCACTGGGTCCTGTTTCAGATCAGAGGCTCACTAAACATAATGAAGGCAGAACATATACCTGACTCCACAAATTCACACTGTGAACATGGATTTAACAAGAAACAGGTTTGCATACGTTATTATAACGTTTGCTCCATGACGGTGTTTTAATCAAAGGAGCAGAATTAGATGAAGCCTAGCAGCCAGCGATGAGCCAACACTGAGACTTTAGGGTCCAGCAGAGGCCAAAAGGGCCGAAAGCTGAGATGAGTGAAGTCCCTCCTTTCACTCGGACATGTTTTTGTGTTGGCAGAAAGAAGAGCTTCAGGTGTATGAGAAGTACTGTCAGAACAAACCTCGCTCTGAAGTGCTCTGGAGGCAGTGTGGAGACAGCCTCTTCTTCCAGGTAACACACACACACACACACACACACACACACACACAACAGGCAGCTTTACCTTGTCCAGGGTCACGGAGCAGCTGACATTCAGCATCTGGGATTTAGTCAGCCGGTGCTTTCTTCTGACCAGACGGTTGGAGGTCATGAGGAGGTTCTGCCCGTTCTGTTGCTGTCCCATTTAAAGGCCTTTATTATACACAGATACACATTCATGTTGTTGAGGGGTCCATTAGAACACGTCTGAAACTCACTGTTTTAACGTGTCTCGTTAAAGCCCACCTCCTGTAGGCACAGTCTGCTCTGATTGGTCAGCTGGAGATGTAGTCCTACCAGAAGCAGCTGTAGTGAGGAAAGAACGGTGGACTGCAGGAGGTTGAGCATCCTTTGTTTGAGGGCGTCAGACTCACCGAGGGGAGGGCTTTTTAATCAGGGTAGTCAGAGAGGCTCATCAAAGCAGCACAGAAGATCTTTGGTTGCCCTCTCTGATGGACATTTACGCCTCCCGCTGCCTCAGTCGGGCAAGAAACATCATCAAGGACACATCCCAAATTCACAAATTGAATTTCCCTTCTGGGATAAATAAAGTATTTTTCATTTCCTTTCATCCTGGGTCCCACGTGTCTGACCTGTTGCCCTCGGCCAGGTGCGACAGGTGCATCAGGACAAAAACCAACAGACTAAAAAACTGTTTTTTCTCAAAGCGAGAACCAGTCTGAGCCACCACAAACACTGATAGGGTCCATTCCCACCACCGGTCCTGTGAATCCACTCACAGGTGTTCTGTCAGTTTGCAGTAAGTCACATGTTCTCAGGTGTAATCTACCACAGCATCTGTCAGGTGCCTCCACTGCTGCTGTAAATACTCACAGCTTTAGATCCATTTTATTCCTACTGTCACTTATTTATTTTTATATATATACACCTCTCGGCTCCACAAACGTCTGGTTTTTATCTTTATCAGTTTGTTTATAATTTCTAGCTGTTCTTTGCACACAGCTACGTTGCACTTTTTTGGTATAATGACGTTAAAGGATTGTGACTCTGATGTGCTAGATGGTGACGTAGATCAGTAACAGAAGACCAGTCTGGACTTCAGATCAGGTGTTCCAGGCACGTATGGAGAGCATGACTTCCTTTAGCGTGGAGTTTGGTGTTTACATGCACAAACAAACACATAGTCACAGCCTAAAGGATGAATAACTTGGGCTCTTCCACCTGACACAGCGGCGTTAACAGGTTCAACCTAACAGGCTGCGTTTGTCCCATCCTGATGGAGAGCTTTTGCTGTTTGTCTCAACAGGAGTGCCAGAAGAAGCTGGACCACAAACTGTCTCTGGATGCCTACCTGCTGAAGCCCGTCCAGAGGATCACCAAATACCAGCTCATGCTAAAGGTGCACACGTCAGCACACGCAGACACGCCAAACATTGAAATGCTGTGAGCCGTGACGCGGTGTGTTCGCTTGCTCTGGTTGAGCAGCTTGTGTGGCTACAAGACGTTATTAAACATTACAGAAATGTTGTGGGACCAGTCTGTGAGTACATTACGTATTATTTAGTGCAATTATCCGGCTAATTGGTTTAGCCTGTTCAGCTCATTTTCCTCCAGGGAAGCAGCTAAAGGCTCCTTTTTGAGCCGAGAGTGTCACAATGATTGTTTTTCACAGTGGGCGTGAGAGTTAAACCGATGGAGGTTAAACATCCAATCAGGAAGCCATCTGCATCCTTCAGCCCTTCATCATGGCCAAATGATCACTAAGTGTAACTCCTACACTCACTGTGCTGCAGCACACTGTTTAGGAATATGTTTTTAAATGAGTAGGTTTTGTACAGCCTGACGTCTACATCAGATGATAGGATGCATCGTCCTTTATGTAACATAATAATATGAAATATAGCACGAGGTACAATCAACAGTTACACAGAGGATGCTGCTGCTGTACGTCATGGTGTGTGTTCAGAAAATAATTAAGCCAGATGTCGCTGTAATTTAAAGGTCGGTTTAAATTAGCAGCTGAAGTGATTTCCTCGATCATGTGACGTCATGGAAACTGTTCAAGTTGTGGACAGAAGCTCTTTGGAACAGATCTAACCGGTTCACTTCCTAAACAAGTTATTCCACAAAGACATCAATAGATGTGATGTTCTTTCTGGTAAAAGGAAGTGTTCTCCATTTCTTCTTTCTCATCAGTTTTCTTTATCTAAATGGTAGAAATCATTGCAAAACATTTCGTCTTCTGTCAGTTTCCACCTTTACTAACAGACATTGTTTAAAGAGGGTCAAATGTCTGCTTTTCAGAATATGTCAAAGCTGCCATCAGTTTGCATGTTAAAATCCAGGCTGCCTGAGGTCCATGAGGTCCATGAGGTCCACGCTCAGGTTCTCCATGTGCTCAACTTGATTGGAAACGATTTGTTTAACGCCGTCATTAATGAGCTCCACGTAGAAGCACAAGCTGGGTTTTATAGAGATGCAGAGAAAGAACCAAAAAATGTGATATAAAGTTTGAAGAAGAATTTTCAGAACAACAAAGTTGAAGTGCAGATGAGGAGCGAGTGTTTCATTTGTCTTCTGTGGGTGAGCTCAGGTTCTGCTGGATTTCTCCTCCTTCCTGCTTCACTTCATGCTTCAGCTTTCTACTTTTACCTTCTCATGAAAGATGAAAGAAGCCACCAGGAATGAGACACACAGTGTGACCGTTGTGGCTTCTTCAGGTGCAGCGAGTCCCTGTGTAGCGCCACCCTGTGGTGTGGGTGAAGGAACAGCTGCTGACTGGACGTCTCTGGCACACCACACAATTCAAAGTCATTTCAAAAGCAAACCTTTTACATTTTCAGCCCTGAAAGCTTCTCCGTCATCATCCGAGCGTCCTGTCAGGGTTTGTCCACTCGGCCACTTGTGTGTCACGGATGGCATTTTACCTCTTCTCCTCCTTCTCACCTTCCACGGCTCGAGGCTCTAGAGGAGGATATGAGAAATACTGATGCAGGTCAAGACCTCACGGTGTTATAAAGAGAAATCCAACCGTTCACCGTGAGCAGTCCTCAGCAACAGCGGGAAGGAAAGACGGGAAGAAGCCTCTGCCAGGAGCAGACTCTGAGTCGGCTGATGTGGGCAGCAGTGGCAGGTCGTAGACGCCCAGAGCCGGAGAGGACACGGTGTTAATGACATGCACAGGTGGAATATGAATGCACAGGAGGTGAGGGGCTCAAAGCAGCGTAACTAAGGGATAGTTCAGGGTCACCTGAGTTTATAAACTGAAGTGCTCGTCTGTAAAGCAGAGAGGTCAGCCTTATGAACCCAGACTGGTTCTGATAGCCTGACAGCTGAAGATTCTGACTCATACTCTGTTCTCAGAAGCTCTAGAAGTTCTAGAAACCATAAGTTGGCGTGCACTCTGAGAGGAAAGCGTTGTGGTGGGACAACACGGTCCAGTGAGGTCTTTAAGATGCGGCTTTAAAATTCTATTCTGGATGTTTCAGGGAGTCGCTGAAGAAAAGCTAACATGGACAAATATGGTCTCTTCTGTTGGTTACTGCCAGAACAGCATTTTGGATCAGCTGGAGGTTTTTATCAGAGAGTTATTCCAACGTCCTGATAACAAGGAGCTACAACAGCCCAGCCAAGAAGTAACACTGACTGATCATCTCTGAGACTCGCTGCTCTGATTCTGACTGTAGAGGTGAAAGCAGGCCGTCCTGGAAACATGTTTTATGTGACAGTTAAAGGACATGTCCGGGTCAAAAATACCCAAGGTTCCTCATTGTCATACTGGAGACCCCGTCCAGGTGCTGGAAATCTAAATGTCTAAATAATTCTAAGAACAAATACAGAAGACATGAACTCAGTGCCTCAATCTGTACACAAGTCTCGTTCTCTCTTCCTTTAAGCTCTTTGGTGTTTCTGTGTTTGTTCTTGCTGTTCTCCTTCATGCTCTCATGCTTTACTAACGCCTCCAATCCATGTCCTCCTCCTCTGTGTCCAACAGGAGATGTTAAAGTGCAGTAAGGGTCAGGGGATGGCGGAGCTGGAGGAGGCCTTGGCCACCATGCTGGACATCATCAAGTCTGTCAACGACTCCATGCACCAGATCGCCATCACTGGCTTTGAGGTGAGAGAGCTGAAATGTCTGGTGTCTCCTGATCAGTTACACAAACTCATGATCAGTGGGTGCTGCCTGGACTTCACCTCCCAGGTCTGCTGACGTGACTCCTACACTCACACAGAGCTGGCATTCTGTGTCACAGCCATAGAAGTACGATCAGGGTTCCAGATTAAATAGTTTTCTTACATATAAACCTCTGGCATCAAGGCTCTGCTGTCCTCGTTGTTGTTAACATGTGTGTCATAAGATCTAAAGGGTTTCTAAGGCCTTCTGAAAAACTGTCTCACAAAGAATATTAACAGATATTCAAACTGTTCCACTTTTGGAAAATTATCCTGAAGTGGTGCAGATTTCAAACCACTGCCATTTGTTTCTGGACCCAGAAACTTCAGACCAAGAGCAAAGACTTGATGCAGCAGGAGTCTGCAGGAGGGCCACAGTTTTATCACAGGATCTACAGGTAGCTCTGCAGCTGTTGGTGTCAAAGTCCATGAGTCTGAGATCAGAAAGACGTTGATCTGAGCTGCACGGGAGGCGAGCCAGCAACAAGCCTCTGCTGTCCAAAACCAACACAGGAGCCAAAATACAGTTTTGCCAGCAAACATTCAGGCAAAGAGCAGGCCTTCTGGGAAAAAACATCTCGCCTCTGAAGGGATTCTGCACCAGGAGACGAGCTGGTGAGCGCTGTGAGCTCTGTCTCTGCCTTTACATGGACCAGCGGGCAAACTAAGGAATTTATTGCATGTTTATCTTCTTAGTTCAAACAGATGGGAGCTGGCTCAGTGATCACAGCGCTCAGACGTGGTCGTAAATCAGCTCTCCATAGAACACTTCTCTTCAGCCTTGATAAGTTGTGAAGTGTGTGAGATATGTGCCTTATTTTGGGTTTTCATGTCTGACTCCAAACCTCCAGGATTGTTTGTCTCAGCACCAGGATGTGTGACATCGATCAGGGATCCTCCTGTTAATCATCCCTTCTACGCTATTGTTAGTAATAACATTGTTTTTGTCCCTTTTCTGAAAGCGAGTCAATAAACGCGGCTGTTTGGTCATTATCAGAGCTCGGCCTCTTTCCTGGGGTGGGTTTAATGTTCAGCCTGATCAAGGACAAGAATGAACCTTTTGACGTGTCAGAAAGTTGCAGATCTGTTGCACAAACCGTCCTCGTGCTGCCTCGTTGTTCCTGAGAAACTCCCTCTGTGTGGTTTTTACAATATAACCGCTGAAGCTGTGGCCTTGGATCAAACCTCCTGCATCACACCGGCAGCTTTTTCTTTCTCTGTGCGACGCGACTGTAAGACCGTATGAAGGTTCATTGGTTTCAGAGCAGAGCATCATGGTGAGAATGCATTTACTCTGTTTAGAAATGAAAGCTTGACTCAGATATTCTCAGACATGCATTTTTTGTTCCAAACGCTGCGTCTGAACAGTCGTGAGGAACGATAGCTTCTAGGTCTTCTGGGAAGTACTGAGTCTGTCCACAGCTTCAAGTCAGAACCTCATCATTTATTAACCAACTTTCTTTGAGGTGACGCCACTATTAGTCAGAGGGTTGGTTAATACATCACTGAACACTGAGAACTTGTGATTTTATCGTGTTTTTGGCCTCCAGCACCATTTCAAAGACTTCATCACCACAGAGAAAATGGAGGTTTCCTGTCACGGTGTGGTTCTGTTGGAATGGAAGTCAGTGTGTCGAACTCGTCACAGACATTTACAGCAGCATCACCTTCTGCCTCCACAAACTACTGAATTACATGAATAATGCTCAAATCAATGCTAAATTATATAATAAAAAACTTTTGGCTCCAGAGAATCTGTGGTCATAGCTGGAGAACAAAACGATGGTCGGTGGTCACACAACAAACACAACGTCTACGGCTTCTGTTTGTTTGTTATCTGGTTTAAACATGAAATACTGCAATTCTGTGTCTCCTAAACCCTATTTATAAAATATAAAACTGCAACTTGTGAAAGAACAGATCCTCATTGTAAATGTAGATGAACTTTTTCACACTGAACACATCAGCGCCGACAGAAATCTGCTGTCAAAGCGAATCTGTCTGCATCAGTCGCACTCAACAGCCCATTCAAATACAGTTTTTAGGTTTATCTTACAATATTTTATTGAAATTAATAATGTTTTACTCTGCAAATATGAGTACTACCCATTTCAGTAAGGGTACGAGCTGCTGGAAGACGGGCTTTAAGAAAAATCCAGCGACATCCGTCATGTTCAGATTCCACATGGTGTCCTCTGAGTGTGAAGGAAGTGGATCCAACTGGACGTGTGCTGCTCACACAAGCGCTGAAGCAGCTTCGTGGACATGAAACAGTGCTGTTTGCTGTCATACTTGTAATAATCTGACTGTGTTCATGTTCACAGGGAAACCTGAGCGAGTTGGGGAAGCTGCTGATGCAAGGATCCTTTAATGTGTGGACCGATCACAAGAAAGGCCACAGCAAGGTGAAGCCCACACTCCAGCTGCTTTATCAGAGGCCTTTAGTACCTCGAGGACGCCGTGCCTTTCATTTCAGCGTCAGGCATTTGAACAGAACAAATCACACATACTTTGCATTTTTGCTGCACATTTGTGGATTCTTGGACGTTTACTCAGCAGCCAGGCGGCCGCGGCTGTTCATGTTCAGACTATTCATTTGTGTTGTGAAAGAAATAAAAGAACATGTTTCAGAAAAATATCAAAGAAAAATGCAGAGTTGTTGTAGTTCATCTGACAGAATGAAAGTCTATCCTGGTCTGGGTTTGGGTTCAGTGCTCTGAACACATACATGGTGCGTCGCTTCAGACTCGCTGCTGCTGGTCTTTAGAGTCGCATCTCTAAACCACAAGGGGTAAAACTGTTGGGATGGGCAAAGACTTAACAGCATTTCACAGTCCAGTTCACAGGTCCTGCTAACTGATGAATCCCAGATTGGTGGCAGTACCAGAACCTGGAGAGCATTGCAGTGTGAATGCTGTTGTGTTGCATCTTCCAGCATGAGATCAGGGTTTATGGCTGAGAAGCAGCTCAGTGACCATCCCCTTTATTTTCCACTGTTCAGCGTCTGGCTGTGTGCTCGTCGCTGCACTGGTTTAAACGGGGACAACAGTAAAACATTTCAGTTTGGGGAAATGCAGTTACTACCAACATGAGAGTCATGTCATGGATGTTCTGAATGGCCTCAGTCTGTATCGGTGTAACGCCAGCTTCATTTGTCAGTGTCACTGGAATGCTTATGAAGAATGAAGCGAGAGACACGCAGACAGAACTAATGATGGTTTCCTGGTTGCAGGTGAAGGACCTGGCCAGGTTTAAGCCCATGCAGAGGCACCTGTTTCTCTATGACAAGATGCTGCTGTTCTGTAAGAAGCGAGAAGAGACCTCAGATGGACACGAGAAGACTCCGTCCTACAGCTTCAAACACTCACTCAAGGTCAGACTTCTTCTTCTTGGCCTGCCTTTGGGTTTGGTGCGTTGCTCAGGTTATGAACTCTGTAGCTGGAAGCTTTCTAACGGTTTATAGCAGTTAACCCTGTTCAGGACTTTCATGTTTCCATACGTAGAAGGTCCTTCAGGGTCCATCGGACCCCAAGAAAGAATATGTGCAAAATAATTGTTGGTATTCATGACAGACTTTTATATTATGTTGAATACATTCTCTGATTAGTTGACATATTTTTGTTTTTTTTTAGTGCATGACTAAAGTCCCTCTTTTTATATTGAAAAAAAAATCTTCAAAAACAAAAACAACAGCCGTCACTTAAACCAAACGGTCTGAGGAAGAACAACCCAGAAGTCCTGAACAGGGTTAGAGGAGTCCCTGTCTTCCAGCTACATACTAAACTCCTGACTACTCATGTTTAGGTTGTCTGCTGGCCAAGATGCTCTCAGCTGAATGTGTCTCTTAATTAGTGGTTCCCTGTGGAGGTTCTGATGGCGCTGCCGGGCTGGTTTGCACACCAGTGGAGACAGTTTCACACTAAGTTATGGTGTCAGTAAGCCGGAATATGCAGCAATGCTCCAGCCTGGACAGGGAGGAAGACTACGATCAAGTCAGTGTCCATATAAACGGGTCGGTCATTAAAACCACAGCAGAGGTGAAAGCTGTAACACTGATCATCTCGTTACAATGCAACGTTCTCCTGGAGAACCCTGGGTCCAGACCGAACTCTCCACCTCATGGCAATACTTCCCATTGGCCTCGTCTAGCAGGACAGTTTGGTCCGTCCCAGCTCAAAAAGCAGCTGAGGATCTGTTTAAGGAACACAACAAAGAGCTCAAGGTGTTGACTCAGCTCCAAACTGCCCAGATTCCACAACAAGGCTGATGTCAATGTGCTGCTGCCAAACACCACAGGACACCTCCAGAGGTCACACGTGAACGTCTGGCCTCAGAGCTGCTTTGGCAACACAAGGCTGACCTCCACAGCGTTCGGGAGGCAGGTTTCAGTGACGCATTACTTCACAGAGATGCATTTGTAATTTCAACTGTCTGCACATACGATGAATTTTGATGAGAACGATGAATGTAAACATAACGGCACTTTTTAAAACATTGAAAAGAATGAACTCAAAAAAACAAAACGTCGCAGCTGCAGTTAAGAAATTATTGCAATAGAAGAGAATGGTGGGATCTTTGGGGTAGAGCCTCAAGCTTAAAGGAGGAAAGCCTGTTGCTTCAGTCCGTCACACGACAACGCAGTGAGAAAGAGGCGATCTTTACATTCAGACAGCAAGTGGATGGAGGTGCACTACAGTTTGCCCCCAACGTGATGCAAAGCTCTGCATTAGCTACCAGCTCACACAGCAAACAGCTCGGCCGTCTTCTCATTCTGTCAGCCGGCTGTTAGTTGGACGGCTGTGAAATAATGTAAAAGTGTTGTTACCATCGTTTTAGGTCATTGTTGATTTCCTTGCTGTGGTATTTGTAACCATTGTGTGGTTGCACACATGCATGGTTCCTGTTGCATGCTGGCTGCTACCGCGCCCCTACAGCCGCTGGTCCGACTGTATTCTCAGCTTGATGATTTGACAAACAGGACTGTACTGGGAGTCTTCGAGGTGTCGTTTGATTTCCTCTGTGCTTGATAACAGTGTGATTTCTGAATATGACAGGGTGTGTTTGTAGATTTTATATGAATCAACTGACAAAAGACCAAAGCCTTTTCTTTAATGATGTGTGTCATGTTTTATGTTATTACTCTAATTTATCAGACTGTTTTATTCTTGGTCACTCACAGGCAGACAGAAGTCCTCCGTACTGGTCTTAGCAATATGCTACATTCTCCAGAAAATTGTGACTTTTGCTGCATTTTATTGACCAATGAAGTCGATATTGCTAATGCTAATGCTAATGCTAATGCCAATGCTAATATGCTCCTCGGTGCCCAGATCTGTTCGGCTCCATGCTCCGGTTTAAGTTGAAGTAAAACATTTCCACTCACTAAATGTTGCATACTGACATGTAAAGAGGAACTGGAGCTGCTATGAATAAATACAAAGCTTTTTCAGTTTCAGATTCCAGTAAGTTCAGTTAAATTTTGCTTCCTACATTCTAGAAATACCATTTTATTACAAACAATGTGTTCCTGCTTCACTTAGTACTTGTTAAATAGCACTACGTCGTTGGTGACACCCTGCCGGGTTTTTTATTCCAACTCTGTGGCATCGTCACACCTTCAAATAGTTCACCTCATATGAGGAGACTGTGCCTCGAAGTCGACAGCGCACCACAGCCAACTGACCGCTGGCAGAGCCGGGAAAGAAAGCCCGTTTGTGGAGGTTCTGGACGACTTTGTGTGTCATTGTGGTCGACTCGAGTCCAATGAGGCCCAAAGTTGATTCTGTTCTGTAGCTTCCTGCTCATTGTTTTTAAACAGGAAGTGAGCAGACAGCAGAGGACAGAGAGGTGCCTTACTGGAAAACAACATGAACCATATGATCTGTCTTATGAGCCAGTCAACAAGGGATATCTCACTGATCTAACTTGTGTGTTGGAACGATTCATTATTTTTCTCTGTCATGTTTCCGTCCAGATGAGCGCCGTGGGGATCACAGAGAACGTCAAAGGCGACAGCAAGAAGTTTGAGGTGTGGTACAACGGCAGAGAGGAAGTTTACATCATCCAGGTGTGTTGATGCAACCAGAATGAGACGAAGCTTCATCTGTGCATGGATGCATTTTGTTCTGCTTTCACTACATTTCAGAGAAAACATATCGTTCCACATCAGTAGATTAAACCAGTGGTTCCTCACATCTGACTGGTGGGATCCTTTTTCACATTTTAGATGTTTATTTGTTAGCAGCAGCTCCACCAAAGACATATTTCCCGTTCTTTTTTTTTCTTTTCTTTTCTTTTCTTTTTTAGTTGAGATTAAATAAGTTTTTCAGGAACACAGGAGAGAAAACTGAAAGTCCATAAAACCAAACAGAGGTTTCTATAGCAGATTATAAATTCTCTACTTTCCTAATTCAGTCATCATCTCACAACCATGAAGATGTTTTCCAGGGACCTCATACTGAGGTTGGATATATACAAATAAACACATAAAGAAGCTCAAGCAGCTACATCAGCACCTGCCTGTAAATCAGTCCATCAGTCACACCAACCTGTTCATGACCCCTCTGAACCCCGAGCAGCTTTGTTTCTGTCACCAATGTCACATTTTTACTGGCTGTGGGCTCCTTATCTCTGCATGATGAAGCCCTGCACCTCTATTAAAACACCATGGATAGAAGTAGACAGAACCCCCAATATCCTCTGGACAGTGTGACACAGGCAGGAAGCAGAAAGTATTTATTGACAATGACCGTTTAAAAAACCCCAAACTACTGAATCAACGTTAAATGCCCCAGTGCCACCAGGTGCTACCAGTACCTAAAAACCAGTGGCTCTCCGTACTACATGTAGATGTTTTACCATTATTATACTACTATATACTACTGCTGTACTATACTCTACTCTGCTATACTATACGATACTATGCTATGCTATGCTATGCTATGCTATGCTATACTGTACTGTACTGTACTGTACTGTACTGTACTATAGTATACTATACTATACTATACTATACCATAGTATGCTATACTATGCTATACTATGCTATGCTATGCTATGCTATGCTATGCTATACATTTTAATTGTATTTCCATGTGTGTCTCTTATCTTCGCAGCTCTGTTGTACAGTGTCTGTATTTGGTTGACAGCTGAGTCACTTTTTTCCTGAATCTTTTTGACATATGAATAAATAAGACACGTAGAGCAACATAGAGCAAAAGTATTTTAGTGAAATATCATAATTTTAAGGTTAGATTTTGTTCAGTTCTCTGAACAGCATGTCAGGGATGATTAAAGGAAAGTTTAATTCCTGCTGTTTTTACAGTTTTGGCCTCTGATAATCGGGGTTCAGAGGATTAACATGTCGTAGCTTTAATTTAACGACGTGCTACTTTGCTGATAATTCTGTGTTTTGGTCAAAGTCAGACTGTGAATAGTTCTGGAGTGTCTGGTCCTTACATAAGTCATGAAGATGGCATCGATGTGCCTAAAAACTATCTGTTTAACCCTCCTGTTGTCTTTGGGCTCAGTTTGACCCCATTCTCTGTTTAACATCTGTAACTAAGTCATTGACAGAATTCTTCCAGTTTGATTTAAAGGGCTATTTACACATAAACTTGGGTAACAACTTTAGTCATGATATCTTCTGGAGGTTTAAATTGCTGATCAGATGGAACCCAAGGACAAAGGATGTCAGTAAATCTGAAGATAAAAGGAAGTTAAAGAAGCTGAAAAACTGGTTCTATCAAATAAAATACATTCACAGGCAAATAGAGCTAAAACAAAAGCAGTCATTAGTTTGACCCCTGATCTGATGACTGTTGTGGTGTTCCTGTTGGGAAGCTGTCCTCCAGCCCTGCTCTGGGGGGCAGTGTTGCACCACGTAGCTCCTCCACCAACCAGCTTCTCTCAGATTCACAGCATTAAGCATTAAGAGGCTGCTGTTGCATATGCGTATATGTGTTTGATTTATGTTTGTGTATATGTGTGTGCGTCTCCCTCCCCAGGCTCCCTCCATGGATGTGAAGAATATGTGGGTGTCAGAGATACGTAAAGTTCTTACAGGCCAGCTGGAAGCATGCAGAGGTATGTACACACACCTTTGCACCCGAGAATATCGCTCTGCTTTTGTTTCCCACAAACTTACTTCAGTGCCAACTTGCAGAAGAAGGAGAGGAATTTGTTTGCATGCATCCATTCATCTGCTGGCTGCTATGAGAGCAGTATGCACCCTATGTGATGTCCTACTTTCTATACAAGGCATCATTTCTAACCGTGCATTAGTTGGTTCATAGTTCTATAATTCCAAACACTTGTCTGTCAGACACACAGCAGTTATTCCCACTTCTTATTCATGCATATACTGTTTGATTATGTATTTTTTGCTGTGGCATGCTGAGGCTCCATCACTGTTTCCTGCAGCAACAACAGTTGCTTCGTGTTGCCGTGAACTTTTCTTGTCAGCGCCGCTATCTGTCAACACATCGACACGTCCTTCGCTGCAATCTGGACATCGGCTTGTCAAGCTATAATTGCATCACACAATTATAACCGCAGGCTATTTAGCATTGGAGTTGTCATAAAGACACAAACGCATGACAACATGTGGGATACTTACAGCCAGACAGAGTCGTTTTCTACATCACTGCTGACACTTGGTGCAGGTCACAGCGTCGGCTCTGAAGCTTTGTCTCAACAGAAGGTCATATGTTCACACCTGAGTTCTATTTGGAGGCGTTGTACGTGCAGCAAGAATAAACTGTGTTAACCAGTTTAGTCTTACACCTCTGTAAACATGGGAGGAAGCAAACCAGAGAACGATCCAAATTAAAGTCTCAAGACATCCTGCCTTTTCTGCTGCATTCAATGGCAACTGGGGATTTCTGGTATCTGAAGACGAAAAGTCAAAGTAAATGCCCAAAAAAATCAGATTATTTAAAAGTCATTGCCAAGAAACAGCAGCCTACACAGTAAACGTCCCACGTCTCTACTTTTAAAGAGGCTAACGTCTAAAACATGAGACAACACACCTGTTGTAGCTTCACAGTAGCTCTGAAACGGCCTGATTGAGCAGTTTCCTCTGAATGGATCCATAATTTGCTAAATGAAGATGATGCCGACACATGAAACCTGAAACTAGCAAGTAAGACAATGGACGAGTTCAGAATGAGTCTTCTGAGGGAACAAACCAACGTGTTGGGTCGACCTCTCATCAGCGTCTAAACCATCTGACTCCTGGTTGTAAATGGAGGAGTCTCCCCCTGCTGGCTGCTGGGCAGAATGCAGGTTTAAAGCATCTATTATGTGTGTAGAGATGATGAATAAACACACAACCACAAACA